TTTTTTTCCCAGTATACTGCAATAACCACTCCTATTTTTTTTTCGTTAATGACAAATCATTAATCTCGATTAATTATACTTGTAACACAAAAAGCGCTCACCTAATTGTCAAAGTGTCAATAAGGTAGATGTGTGCATTTTGAATATACATCTGCCTTTGCTACTTTGAACAATGTGCTATTTGCGTGCTTATTTTTCCTGTTGATGGAAAAAAAGCCCAAGAAACATGAAAAACAACGCGTGACCACTCTCCGGCTCGAAAAAAAAAGCAAGCAGCAGCGCCCTCTAATAGGCGTGTCAAAGTTAAAATTTCCCTATATATATATATATATATATATATATATATATATATATATATATATATATATATATATATATATATATATATATATATATATATATATATATATATAAATATATATATATATATATATATATATATATATATATATATATATATATATAGATATATATATATATATATATATATATATATGTGTGTGTGTGTGTGTGCGTGTGTGTGTGTGTGACACACATTGTGACATGCATTCATCATATAATGTTTGCTGAACGTAACCTGATAACAATACCGGTATATAGTTGACATTAAAATCTGCCTGATGTCTATTTGGTACCTATTAGGTAATACTGGCAAATCTAGCGAACTCGCGTTTAGAAGATGAAGGATGATTACGAGTATACTCTACTACAAAAGGACCTTAAGCCACAAATTCCATACAGCTGCCTCTTCCTATTGACACAGCAAATTGAACTACATGGCTTCTCTGACTTCACAATTCTCTCCGATGCAAAGCTTTCACCGAACACTAGAAAAACATGGCCCACGAAGATAAGCAGAGTGATGCACAAACTGACACCAAGAACGTTATCGAACCGATATCTAAACCAGGAGGCTCTTTTTTTTCTTTCTCTTAGGACTGATTCTCACACCTTATCTTTAGGTACATACCACTACGACAACTCCACCATTCTCTCTTCTCTCTTCTCTTCTCTCTCTCTTCTCCACCAGTTTACAACTTACGCACCAACTTCTTTGCATTTGTGTGTCGTCTCTCCTAGGAATCTGTGGCAACTTGACCAAGCATTCAACTAAAGGGTGCCCTAGAATCAACGTCTCCTGCATAAAAACAAAGCAACAGGTCGTATACTTATAGGCAAGCAGTACAAAAATGAAAACAAAACGGCACATACGTATGGAGACTTTAAGAATCGAGTGCGAGCACTGACTACCATCTGTAACTTCTGTGCAAACTACATATACGCTATACTGACAACCGTCACTCCGCGTATAATGGTGGCGAACGGTTGGAAGATAAAAGAAAGAAAAACAAAGAGGCGAGGAAACAAAATAGCAGAGAGACACATTACTGTTGCTACATCGGCTCTCGCTAGAGAGGGTGTTGTGATGTGATCCGATCTCTCACACGCTCTCCTGTGCTCGCCAGAGTCGTTTTATTCTACCGGTGATTGCAGCATTTCTTTGGGTCGGCGAATACACATGCTCACCTTTGACGGACCATGGTCGTCATGATTATGGTTTTTTTAGCCAGTACTCTCTCCTTGATCGTCATTTTCCTTGCAGCAGTCATAAGGTATTGTCATCCTTTGCACACTAATCTTTTGCATGTATAACCGTAACCACCACAGGCGCTTGTGTTAGGCTTAGAAGCTTAGAAAGCGATACGATTACCTAGTTCGTGGTTGAGAACATACGTCTCGGGTTACTATAGCCGGAATCCTGCATCCTTTAAGGCTATCCGACCATTTTAGTGAGATTATTCGTGGTATTTTGTGTACTTTTAGACTTGTTAGTAGTTAAAATTTTGAATAGCCCGTGTACAGCAGGCAAGCATTGAAACGCGACAGTTTAGGGCTAAGTAGCGTACGCAGTTTTGTTTCAAACCATGCTCACTCATGTCGTATTCATGTAATATTCTCACTCGTACGTAAAAGCCGACAGTACACCGCATCGAAGCCACATTCGTTCCAGTCGGTCGTGGCGCGTTTCTGACGAGATATTACCTGGAGCAGTAGCTAGACTAAAAAATTGTTATGTTTATATACTTTGAACGCTGTACAATACCCGATGGCACGTCCAATTGTGTAACGTGGCGCTGCCTGAAAACTTGACTGAAAGTAGCAACGAAAATTGCTACGTCAGCCTTAGTCACCGTATTCACATTCTACCACATGCATCGTTCCCATCTCGCCCACCACCTATCTACCTTGATAAGAAAATTACAAGTACATTTTTCAGAAAGTGCGCCCACTGCTCATGAGCTTAAGAGTACTGTTAATTTTTATAGAGTCTTCTATCATCTGAACTGTATGATTCCTATTGTCTACATAGGTTGGCCCCTCGAGATTATTCGATAAAACTCCGAGCTTTGTTTGAAAAGAAGGCGATAGTGATAAGAATGTCCAATAAAAAGCAGCTTACCGACCTTGATTGCGAGAAATGAACGGGGCAGAAAATAATACCGCCACACAGCTTTCGAAAATAAAATAAACTGATGCGTGATTGCTGGAAGGTTCCAAGTTTGTTTTCACTAGTGTTCTGAATCGATAAACTTGATTTTTATTGAACATTTTGATAAAATTGATTTTGATAAAAATGAATTGAACACTGATAAAGCTTTTTCGGCATAAGACTTCCCTGGGTTTATTTCTAACAAACGTGCATTGAAGGACCCGATGTTTATTGGAATTATTCGATTCAAGGAGACACGCTTTAATGATTGATTGATTGATTTGTAGGGTTTAACGTCCCGAAAACCATCATATTATTATGAGAGACGCCGTAGTGGAGGGCTCCGGAAATTTCGACCACCTGGGGTTCTTTAACGTGCACCCAAATCTGAGTACACGGGCCTACAACATTTCCGCCTTCATCGAAAATGCAGCCGCCACAGCTGGGATTCGATCCCGCGACCTGCAGGTCAGCAGACGAGTACCTTAGCCACTGGACCACCGTGGCGGGGACCACGCGTTAATGAAGCAGAGTAATAAACGGATGTTGTTATTTGAAGCTTTTATTTAAAGTGTGTCAATCATGAGTACACGGGAAGATAATCGAACTGTACCAAAAGGTGACGCCAAGAAAAAATACAAATGATCATAATTAGTCCCTTAAACATGCGACATTTTGATAGTGTGCAATGATGCAAAAAATACAAGATTAGCATCAAAATGAGATTGTGAATGTGCCCACACGCTTACTGCACTTGCAATCAGAACATGCACACGTGAACATTAAAGGAGAAAGATAAGAAAATGCTTGTGAAACAAAGAAAACCTGTATATAAACTACAGTCATAGGTTGAAGAAACAGCAAAATTGAATATATTCGGACAGTAAAAAAAAAAGAGGTGTGTGTATTTCACTCAGATGACAAAATGAACGACACTGAAGTGAAACAAGAGTAAGGGCAGCATTCCTTTGATGTAGTTAGTGCATGTGCGTGAAGTAAACCCATGTGAATGACATCTGTGCTATGGCGCAGAGGTCTGCCATTCACGTTTCTGATTATTTTTGTGTATGTATTGCTCCGAAACTTTCAGCCGCGGCATCGAATGCGGAGCTCTAGTGGATGTACGTTAATCATTGCAATCTCGCGCCCATTCAGCACTTCGATTTCCCGTACCAACCACTCCGCTACCTATTTTGTGGCCAACAAAAGCATTCTCTATTTGTTTCATATATGGCGTGAGCTTTAAGGCAGAATGTACGTTAATACATTCTAGTGTTGGTATATAGGGCCGCAAGTTTGTTATCAGATCGGCTAGTTTTTTGTCATACACACCGAAAAGCATAAAATTATTTAGGTATGCATGCAAACGACAGAGACGAATGTTTCAAATTGATAACGGCTTAATCCGAGCAATGAGTAAAGTAGGAGTAAAACAATTATGTCGAAGATGAGAAATTGGGGGAAAGCTTCGCCTTCAAGAGCTGAAAGCTATAGCCATATCCTGTCTCTAGTACGTACTTGAACTACTTAGTGCGTAATTTTCATTGTATGATGTTATCCTAGAAGTTTAAATTGTGGTATAACTTAAAGTGGCTTGTGTCAGTGAAGCTTTCGCATAGTGGGTATACAACCTGTGTAAGTCGATAGCATGCTTCAAGTCACGAGCAATCATGTCGCGTGGAAATTTCTCATATGTCCCGACACTCGATGATAACGTACGCATGTACCACGCAATATCATTGCAATATTTCAAGTTGCATTGGGAAGCCTGTATACTTGACGTGCGTGCCTGCAAAGCGTGAACGTTATTTTCACGGCATTTCGACTCATTCGTGCGGCTCTGTGGTAGAACACATGCTTTCCTACCTGGCTTCGGGCGTCATCGGACCAGAAAATCTTGATCATTTATTTTATTTGCAGCTTTCTCGATATTTATGTCACGTACAAAATAATTTTGGCTCACAACCGCCGACGCCGAAATTTCAGCGAAACAACCTCTTTAACGATGCGACGTTCAAGTTATTTATTTACAGCACGTTCAAATAAATAAAATTTTCTTCTATCAGGTAGGCTATTTTTGTACCTACATGGAGTGGGTACAAAAATATGTATATGCTTCATTGAACTAATAACATGAGATTCCGGCCATGAACCGATTTCTTTATATAAATATGAAAAAAATATAGAGAGGTAGGCTACGTTCGAGCCAGCGATCCCATCATCATGAAAGTGGTAATCAAGCAGATAACATAATAAACTAGAATATAATAATAAAAAATTATCAGCAACCATACGTTGATATATGCCATATTGGGTGTATAAAGCACGAGGAAAGTCCTATTGCAGAGTCCAGTTCATCAAGCGTGGTCACATCGCGTATATATTCCGTAAAGACAAATTTTCATGCTCCTTTACATGTATATTGACTATGAGATGTGCCGTATCTCGACTGGCAGTTTCCGTCGCACATTTGCACGCACGTTGTCTTTCTTATCCAGATGGCGGCAGTGGCATTTTTCCTACTTCAAAACGCTAGGAATCCCCGGTCCCGAGCCAAGCCTGCTGTGGGGAAACCTTCGCGAGTATCACGAAACGGTGATGAGCCTATTAACTAAAGTTTCGAAATACTTGGCATAGTTTCAACGTGGAAACTGCACCTGGGCCCCTTTTGTCCCAGCTGTGCGCATGTATGCTCTTTCGTCACAACGACCAATGACAGAGATAACTTAGGCAATTACAATTTTGAGAATTCGGGCCACGATTGAAAGGCGATTAGAATCCATTAGAATCCTTGAAAGGCCACTAGAATTATTGTGCGCGCTGACGCACGAGCTGGTTTGTCACGTTGTATTTTTTTTTATTTCGTGGGCATTAGTAATTAGCAGAAAAACACTAATACCTAACAGATATAAAGTTCGAAGCTGTCTGATCGGACGTTTTGCAAACCAATCTACAACTTTTTCTTTGAACTTTTTTATGTATCTTCGTTTTCGAAAAGTTAGTTAATTAAGCATGCCTAGTTAGACAATATTTGAGAACACAAAAATAGTCTAACTCCAGGCAACGGTGAGCAACATGCATTTGGTCACGTCGTGATTACGTGTTACGGCATATTTTTAAAATCTGGCTGAAGTACGTCCGTTAGATATAACAGTTGAAATCAAGAGGAAATGGACATGGGCCGGGCATGTAGCACGTAGACAGGATAACCACTGGTCATTAGGGGTAACTAACTGGCTTCCAAGAGAAAGCAAGCGGGTTAGAGGGAGACAGAAAGTAAGGTAGGCAGATGAGATTAAGAAGTTTGCGCGTATAAATTGGCAGCAGCAAGCACAGGACCGAGTTGACTGGCGGAACATGGGAAATGCCTTTGTCCTGCAGTGGACGTAGTCAGGCTGATGATGATGACGATGAAAGTTACGTGGTAAACCCTGTATAGTAAACAAAAGCTCACGTTTGTTACGCAACATAAAATGTGCAGGTGAGTCGAGCGGGGTGCAATAAAAAATATGAGAATGATGAAAAGGAGGCATTGTACGCATATGCGTATGGCTCCTCCCTTTTATTTTAAAGTTTAGTATTTTCAGCTTTAATTTCAAGCGCACCTTAGCAACTTGGCTTCGGTTCTTTGTGATAGCGGGGCCCTCTATGAGAGAGTTGATGAGTTAAAACTCCTATGTTGTGGAGAAAGAAGTTCCTTAGTATGACAACCGAAACTAATAATGCTGATAATAGCTTCGTTACGTCAGGATGTTGTGTGCATTTCACTCTGCTGCTGAACACAGCCCATAAGTGTTGAACATGAAAAACAGGTCTGGTGTCCCTAACTGCATTTCTTGTCCATCCGGCAGCACTATTTCAAGGTTATTGGCAAGTGGCTGGACAATTATGGCGACACTTTCGGGTAAGATCCACATATGCAAAAAGAAAAATAATTTATTAGTCACTCTCTCTTTGTTTGTACTGGGACTATATATGAAACAGTTACGTTTTACTTGTTTCCATTCAAAAGGAACAACAGAGTAAAGTAAAACTCCGCTAACGGAGATTTTTTTCATACATGCTCAATTTACAGTGACGGTGGTCACTGTAACGTTTCAGCCACTAGAATAAAGATGACATTTAGTGTTTCATCATCCATAATTTACTTCATAGGTGCCCATCAGCACAGAATTAACGTTAGGTATAACAAAAGGGGAGATCACGTTAGGTGTAACGAAAGGTGAGATCAGGTAAAAAAGGCATATTCACGGTGATTCATCTCAAATGCAGTATCCCAGAATTCACTAATGGTTTTATTGATTTCGCTGATTGGCGGATTAATTAGAGAGAATTTCTAACTCCAAGGTGAGACCATAACCACCTTAATTGAAATAGCCCCACATAAAATATTCACTACTTCAGTCTTACTTAGGATACACTTGATTTTAAATATATAAGTATATAATATATGCACACATGCAAGGGCCTAACGCCTAACTTCCTTCAGTTATATGAGGGCGAAGCTTTCATAGCCATGAAATGGTGAGAAGGGCGGGATTGATCGACTTACGAATTTTCAAGCGCAATGGTCGACGTTGTTATGTGCATATATTGAGTCCTGTAGTTGCTAAAAATAATAGTCTTTAAAAGCTTCCAACAGCTTCCAAACATATTCTACCAACTGCAGATTTTACAACGGAGATGTACCATTTGTTGTGACAAAAGACTTGGATTTCTTGGAATACATCTTCATTCGCAACTTCCAGAACTTCACGGATCGAGGGGTAAGTTTTACGTTGACGATACGTTCCCGAAAAACGTGTGTTCAGTATAAAGCGTGTTACTTTTCATTAAGGAACTATCAAAGAGGAAACTTCTGAAGCGCTAGATGCCATTGATTTATCCTTGCTACTGCATTGCCATTCGGGCCACGTTTACAACGATTGGGTACACCCACAGTCATACAAAATATTGGTGTCATGAGGAAGCAATCGAGAGTTAAATGCTGCTCTAATCAAACTTTCTGCACAGGACGAGATGGTGATGGAGCAGAGGCATCCGCTCCTGCGCAACGGTATTGTTTACGCCGAAGGCAGCAAGTGGAGAAATATACGGCGATCTCTAGCGTCCGCTTTCACCCACGGAAAGCTAAAACAGGTAAGGTGCAAGTGAAAACATGCTGTAACCAGGAGTAATGCCCAATCGTCCCTTGCCCTATCATCCACTGTATTTTTTGTAACCAGGGGCGTACTTAAGGGTAAGGGCATCAACCACCTTTTATCTACGTTTGTGCGTGAGTTAGTAGTGATTACTGCATACGTGCGCAAGCAATATTGAAATATTTCGAAGAAATAGGAAGTTTTCCACCCTTTTTCCCTTAACCTTCGTTCGTACTCAACTTGAATTCGCCACAGTTGTTTGATCACCTCATCAGGTCCACCTAACAAGCGCCCTTGAACGTATACAAAATCATGCCGCTTGTTTTGTTGCTAAAGATTACAGCCGACATTCTAGTATCACTCCCGTTAAATCGTCGCTGTCGTCACCTTTTTCCCGGTTGCAGCCATGGCTAGTTTCTGCGTTATATAACGCGTTTCTTTCTGTAAATAGGACAGTGGGTCCTAACCCCGAAGGTATGCTTGGAGCGCGTGCCCCACCTTCAATAACATACGATTAGGCTGCCGGTCAGCAAGACTCGGTGGCCAAGTAATACACTTCGTCATCATAATTGTACCAGACGGTTGACGATATTGCTCAGTGAAACCAAGATAGTATGACATTATCTCGCAATTCTTGTTATCCTAGCACTAACCATGGACATCATAGATTGCGTCAAAAGACCATGATATGGTCTTTTGACGCAATCTTACAGAGAAGTAATTGGCAATCAAAGCGAAGGAAAGTATATGTAACGTCATTTGTAGAGGTCAAAAATTGCAGCGGACGAAAACACAACTTGCCGACGGCAGGAACCGGATGTGACGCCTTCTAAGCACGCATGCGATACTCTACCAAGTGAGAAATAGTGGCGGACGCCTTCCGTTCACATTATTGGGTTCATATACGCATTTAGAGCTCAAGTTAATACTCAGCGCCGCTCATAAAAGTAACGGCGAGTGGGCAACACGCTTTGTTTTTGTTTGTTCTTGTTGTAGTTGTAGTTGTTGCCTGTTGGTGTCACGTAGCACATGCTAACTCTGATCGGGTGCTTATTCAGACCAAGTGACTTTCGTTTACTCATATGATTCATCACTAGTCTTCGTATGGGTTTCATCATCAACATATAACAAATGTTCATTTGTTACATCAGATGATGGCCGATGTAAAAAATGGCGCGGACACCTTCCTAGACATTGTGAGTGAGTACGCTGACAGCAACCGTGAAGCGAATGTGTTCGAGCTCTACCAAAGACTAGCCATGGATTACGTGGGCCGAACCGCGTTCGGAGTCGACTTCAGCTTCCAAAGAGGACCCGAAAACGCCCTCGCCGTTTCCTCGAAGGCCATTCTTCGGGGAGTCATGAAGGGACCGTTTTACTTCATTTGCCGTAAGTGCGATGAAGTGAATTGAAATGCGGTATGTCCGTCTTGGCTGTATCACAAAAAACTCTTATAAGAAGAACAGAAATCGACGCGCATACCAAGCAGCACGGACCACCCTTCACCCGGGAATCATCACAAGATATTCTTGCTCACGAATGTGATACTTTTCGAATTCGTACCATTTCACTAATGTTCGCATTGTTTCCACCGTCATAGGCGTGCGCACACAATGAGGGATGAGTACCGGTCCCCCCCCGCCAACACCATGCATTTACAGCTTGGTATCAGAAGCTCTGCCTACACAACCATAGTGCACTGTTCAGACAACACTGCGAGAGAGGTAGTGCAAGCTGGATTCATCTCGAAAGCATACATTTTCTGTGGTAATAAAAGTAACGCACTCATCAAAAAGTAAATCTGGACTTTTTGACATTAGCCTGGCTCAGAAGCTTTCTTTGATTCCGTAAGCAGTGTACAGTTGCTAATTTCTTCTCATCTGCTCTAACGGATACCTCTGGTGTTCCCCAAGGCAGGGTTTTCGGTTCCTTGTAATTTTTATTATACATCAATGACCTGCCATTGCGTATCTCCTCAAACATACGACTGTTTGCGGACGATTACATACTCTATCACAAAATAACATTATGACCAGATCACCTCGCTATTCAGGAAGACCTAGATCTCATAACTAATTGGTGCTCACGCTGGCGAATTACAGTTATTACTGATATATGCAAGCTAATGACCTTCACCCACCAGAAACCTATTTGTGTAATTGCACTCTCGATAACTGTAATGTGAAGCGCAAATCATCATATAAATACCTTTGCGCGCATCTTTTGCCATCACTCTCAAGGTACACGAATAGTGACAAAACTTCAGTGCAGGCATCCATCCCGCACTCATGGTTACCTCAAACGTAATCTTCACGACGCTCCAAGATCGACCTTGCATATCTAACCTTCGTTCGTACTCAACTTGAATTCGCCACAGTTGTTTGATCACCTCATCAGGTCCACCTAACAAGCGCCCTTGAACGTATACAAAATCATGCCGCTTGTTTTGTTGCTAAAGATTACAGCCGACATTCTAGTATCACTCCCGTTAAATCGTCGCTGTCGTCACCTTCCTTATATTACCGCATAAATATCGCCGTGATCTGTGTCTTTCAAAAATTAGCATCAGGTAAGCAGGAAACCACTCTCCCTCTCACCCAGCAGACACGTACTCGCTATTTGCATAATAGCCGTTTTTCGAAACGCATTTTGTAGCGCATTTTGTAGCATTTGTAGCGCATTCTGTAGCGCATTTGAAACACATTTTGTAGCGCATTTTGGGACGCATTATTGCATTCAACTTATTGGCATTACCAGTAGCGTTTGAAATATACAATTGTCTTTTTGACAATGCTGTCAGCATTGATAATCCTGTATTGTTTCCTCACGAAGTTACCACGATTATTTCATTACCAGTAAAAGGTTCTTACCAGCGCAAACGACAGGGCAGGAGGGGACAGGAGAAGAGACGAGACAGAGCGCTGAACTGGCAACAAGTTATTTCTTGTGAAGGTATTATTTCTTGTGAAGAACTAAATTGTTGGCAGTTCAGCGTTCTGTCTCGTCTCTTCTCCTGTCCCTTCCTGCCCTGTCGTTTGCGCTGTTAAGCACCGTTTATGATGTTATACCAACACGCCCAATCCCACTGTCTCATTACCAGTACATGGCTTCAACATTCCACTAAGTTATGTGTGATCCCCATCGGTAGCTATTTTATAAATTGTTACTGTTATGTGATGTGCCTTTACAAATGAGCATCTCTACATTTTGTTCATTATTTATATATCCTGTTTGCTCTCGCTAACAGTTATATAGCATTATTTTTGTTAATGTACTATAGCACGTATTATTGTGTTTCGATGCTTCAAGTCATGCGAATATGCACTGTACAATCCCCCCTCACACAATACTTCAGCTGGAGCCTGTGGAGGGGGGGGGGAGGGCTTTGAGAATAAATTGATAAATAAATAAGCTACAGGTTTGTCGTTCCTATCTGAAATAAGACGCTTGGTTAGGCAGTGACGTCAGATTCCCTGAAGAAATTCGCGAGAGCGTTCATGATTCTTACCATACTCGGCGACAACTTTTCTTGGCGTTGATGCGAACGCTACAAAATCAAATCGCGTGCATCTCACCATTAGTGAATCTAGTTCCACATAAGCACCCGTATTTTCAATTTGGAAATGTGAAAGTTCCTCCTTTCTTTTCTACGTGGAGCTATTTGAGACAGAACGCAGCTCACACCAGTAAGATATGCGTATTTCTTTCAACTTACTCGTTGTGACTTCGCGTTTTTGAACGAGCGAGAAATTCCCGCCTTTTTACGTGTACCTCAAACGTTAAGCGGCGTCGGCGTCCACCTGAAACGCTGATGGTGCACCTCCGTCACTTTTCACAGCGTTACGAGACGCGCGCCAAAACGAACTACTCCACGTAGTGCTACATGCACAGAAGCTCCGCCCCCATAGCTTTTTAAGTGCCAAGAAAAGGTGACCACCGACGTGAACGCATCTCATAGGAACACCAGCTATCTGAAACACTTGAAAAGCACTTAATGCCACAGACACGAGAAAATGCGATTTGACCAAACGTTTATGCAGACTCTAAAGGTGTGGCACAGTGCTGTGGTGGAGCCTATTTATTCCTTTACGTTGTAAACGATTATATAGTGGTGGTGGTGATAGTGCTGTGGTGGAGCCTATTTATTCCTTTACGTCGTAAACGATTATACAGTGGTGGTGGTGATAAAGATGTCACAGGTGGTGTTAGCCTGGCAGACTTGGCCGGCAATATAGCTTTGCATGTGGCGGAGCCTTACTCTTACGCTTGTTTTTCTTGTTGATTCTTTTCTCCCCGCAGAATGCACATCGAAATTTGGTGTGTTCGCAAAACCTCTGTACTGGGTCAACATGTTGCTCGGCGTTTACGCGTCAGTTGCCTTGACTAAGGAGACGGCGAATGTGATCGATCTTAGAAGAAACAACCCGGAGGTGAGTTTTACGGAGCCGCTAACCTTAGCAATGATAGCCCCACCACGGTGGTCAAGTGGCTACTCGGCGGCTGACCCGCAGGTCATTGGATTGAATCCCGGCTTTGGCGGCTGCATTTTCGATAAAGGCGAAATACTGTAGGCCCGTGGGCTCAGGTTGGGTGGAAGTTAAAGAACCCAGGTGTATGGTCGAAATTTCCGGAGCCCTCCACTACGGCGTCTCTCACAATCATATGGTGGTTCTATGATGTTAAACTTCACATGTCAATCAAACCCTTGCAAAATAGCGTGTTCGCTTGCATGCTCGCGATAATAATATGCATTGGCTCATTATGTAATATTAATAACCATCAACAACTGGTCATATTATAAACTACGTTTTATAAAGCATTTCAATACTTAAAGAAAAAAAAACGTTTCGTGTTCTCACAGTGTCACTCGTAGTCAGTCACGTTTATCAATTAAGAGTAGTGGAATGCAATGTTTTAAATCGTTTATTGCTGAGGCAGCACACACAAAATGTGTTTGATCTCCCTCTTTAGGAATCGGTATAACACGAACGTGGAACGTGTCATCGCAAATGTAGTTGAGCACTCATTGTGAATTGTTTTGCGAGAAGGACGTAGGAATGACTGCTACAGTGACAAATTGCAGTGTCACGCGATGAACGGCAAGTAGCTCCCAACTTGCAGCGCACACCTCAAGCAGGAAGCACGCACGAAAGGAGCATACACAAGACGAGGGCAGAAAAACTACTGTCACAACTGGGCATTTAAAGCAGGCTGCTGAAACAGAAAGACGTACGAAACAAATGCACAAGTACAGACCTGGATGAGTGTGAATAACGGTCACAATTCTCCCTTCTTCGGGAGTGAGCAGGACGCACCTTTCGCAAACGTAGCCATGACAGCAGGCGAAGTGACAATCGTGCTCTTGTTAACTAACGTGAATTAAAAGGAAGCTAGCGGAGCAAGCACAAGAAAAACAGAGCAACCGAATCCCGAGATAAGCACACCCTCGAGCGAGCCACCACGCTAGATAACATCTATACGCACTTTGACCACGCCAGGTAGAGGCACGCGAGCACATTGACGCATGGGGTGCACGGCACAACGACATTTAGAGCGCGCGCGCCTCACGCGCGTTCGTTGTGCCATCTCGCTACTGATGACGAAAACGCGCTGAGTTGCAGAGCTCTGAGTACCGCCAGCATTACATGGTGTATACAAAGGGCTCGCCGTGGAGAAGGGCTGCTCGGTGACTTATTGCACGATTAGCATCGCACGCTGAAGAGCGTGAGCTGTATGGTTTGACGACCCGCTTCAGAACTTCTCATTCTCGTTTTCTTTTTTGCAATCTGTTAGTAAATATTTCACAACGTCATTTCCGTGACGGAAATACGATGTGTAGCCGTGATGGACCCCGGCATAAAACACTGTCGTGTTAAAAGTTGTGTAGATATAACGATAGCCTACACAGGGTGTCATCGAAAATACATTTGCCTTTGTAAGTGGCTTAGACATTCGGAAGGTCCGCCACAGTGGACCAGTGGCTACGGTGCTCGGCCGCACACACGAAGGTTGCGGATTCGATCCCAGCCACGGCGGTCACATTTCGGTGGAGGCGATACGGTAGAGGCTCTTGTACTGTACAACGTGCAAAGTCGTTCGTGAAACGGGAACACAGTGAACTAGTAGAGCACTCAAGGTTCACGGGATGACTTTCAGCTCTCGCATAGTAGTGCCGGAGGATCGGAGGCGGCGGTTGAACAAGCTCTACAGGAGGCTCTGGACGTTACAGAGTCTTTCCTGGAAGGTACGGGACTGGCGCTTTCGCCGGAAAAGTCGGAACTCCTGCTGTACAGACAGGCTAGACGAGGTGTTAGGGGACTCACCCCTCTCGATCAAGTGCCCATTAGCGTTTGCACCAAGGATGGTCGCACAATTCCTAGAGTCAATTCTATGAAAATTCTGGGGCTTTTATTAGACTCTAAGGGATGCAACGCAAAGACTATAGCCCATCTCACCACAAAAACAGAGAACATTCTGAGATTAATTATGCGGGTGTCCAACAAGAAGGGCGGCATAGGCGAGGATATCCTCCTTAGGGCCCACCACGCTTTCCTCATGAGCCATATCATATACATAGTGGCGGCTCTCAATTGGACCTAAACGGAAAAGGATAAATTGGACACGCTCATGCGCAAAAGTGTCAAAAAGGTGCTCGGCGTCCCAATCACGACTAGCACAGAAAAACTCATGAAGTTGGGAGTGCACAACACCACTTCGGAATTAATTGAAGCGCAAAGGTCAGCACAAATAGTTCGGTTATCGAGTTTCAAAACAGGAAGAAAACTGCTCGATGCGGCAGGCCTCCGTCCTATCTTCAATCAGGGAGAAACTACGCAGCTTGATTATCAAACAAGGAATTCCTTTATTGTTGACCCTCTTCCACGAAACATCCATCCCCAACACAATAAAGGTCGTAGGTTGGCGAGGGCTAGGGCTTTCATAAAGAACCTCTCCGGAACACAGACATTTGTGGACGCGGCGCGCCACGCCGGCGGCAGCGGGTTTTCCGTGGCAGTAGTCAATGACAGGGGAGAACTTGTCTCGGCAGCTTCAGTGAAGACCTCCTTGGTCGATGTAGCAGAACAGGCTGCTGTAGCGCTGGCATTACTGGACACGAAACGCACCACGGTGTAGACCGATTCCCGAGCGGCCGTTAGGGCGTTCGCATCGGGATTGATAGCCACAGAGGCAGCCAGAATTCTCCACAGCAAACCCCCCTCAGACGTTATTCATCACATAGTCTGGTTTCCCGCTCACATGGGACCAGACGTACTGCCGGGTCACCTGAACCCAAACGAGATAGCCCACGACTGTGCGCGAGGTTTCACAAGCCGCGACGGGGTGGTCTCTCGGGTGGGTTCGGGAGAGCTCGTCCACAGTGATCCTCTCGTTACTTTTCACGAGATAACATCTCATTACAGAGGAGAGCGACAGACTTTTCCCTTTCCCCATCATAAGCTCCACAGATCACAAGCAAGCACGCTCCGCATGCTCCAGACGGGGTCTTACCCCTCTAGGGGCTTTCTGAGAATGCTTCATCCGGATATTGATCCACTTTGCCCAGATTGTGGTGAATTTTGCTCTTTGAGTCACATGCTCTGGCAGTGCCCTGCGTTACAGGATTTTAAAACAGAAGAAGACTGGACGATGGCAATCACCGACCCCAGACAAGACGTCCAGCTTCAGGCTGTCCAGGGGGCCCGTGAACGAGCGGAGAGGCATGGCCTCTCTGTTCCGACATGGGACTAGCCAACGGCTGGGTGGGGACCTACATAGTTGGCCCGCTGCCTTGCCTCTCAGGACCAAATAAAGTTGTTTGTCCTGTCTTGCATAGTAGAATTTCAAGTACTCTAAATTGTACTGTGAGTTGTCAGTGCGCCTTGAAAAACTCCAGGTGGTCGAAAGTTTGGGAACCCTTCACTACAGCGTCTGTCATAATCATGATAGTGGTTTAGGGAAGTAAAGCCCCAGGATATTAGACGTTCAGCAGACGAACATGACGTAGCCATTTACGACAAATTGATTGCTGATGTTCTACAAGCCGTAAGCATGGAGGCTATAATTATGAAAGACGCTGTTGTATGAGACTACGCCCAACTTGGCCAGCTGAAGATTATTTCTGTGTGGCTGACATTTATGAAGCAACACGGGCGTCTCTTTGGCCATCGTCTCTTTCTAAATGTGTCCGCCATGTCCGGCAGCCCAATCGGCTTTCTCGGGCTTTGTAGTAAAACATCTTGCTTTTACACTAGGACGGGGCGTATAGATCATACGTTCCATTCCAGATCTACACCATATTTGATCAAAATGCAACATGCACGTTCGTGTGAAAGTTTACTTATTAATAGTATTTATTTTTATAATAATAATAATAATAATAATAATAATAATAATAATAATAATAATAATAATAATAATAATAATAATAATAATATAATATATAATAATATATTATTATTATTATTATTATTATTATTATTATTATTATTATTATTATTATTATTATTATTATTATTATTATTATTAAGGAATGATGACAACACTAGGGAACAACAAGCATCTTCGCAGAGAAAGGCAACACGAAACCGGCGCTCGAGCTCCACCATTTTCCTCGTCCTGTGGCTGTCTCGAATTTTCCACCTGCCCGTTAGGTTCGCCCAATAAACCTCTTTACATTTGGTGGATCGTGCTGAATAACCACATCGCCTACACCCTGGAACTCCGATCCCGCACCCTGCCATCGACCATGCAAGCTGACGCTGCCCAACAAACAGTACCTCTCGCGGCCGCTACTTGCCCCGGCTCGGTTCACCAGCGAGACCCCCCGATCATTGCGAGCACTGAAGACCAGGATGTCGAGGACTGGCTGTCGTCATACGCAAAAGTCAGTGGATCCAGCAGGTGGGGTGGTGCTGCTAAGTTGGGCACTGTCAATTTTTATCTCATTAACATGGCCAAGCTGTGGTATACGAACCACGAAACCGAGTTCGCGAACTGGTCCGTCTTCAAGGAGGCGATATATGCCGTTTTTGGTCGCCCTGCCTTAGGAAAACTACGCGCCGAACAACGTCTGCGCACACGGGCACAGGAGCCAGATGAAACTTTCACCTCATATATAGGAAATGTGATCGGTCTCTGCCGGCGCGTCGATGCTTCCATGAGTGAGAGTGCAAATATACAGCACATTGTGAAGGGCGTCGACGATGACGATTTCCATATGCTTCTCGCTAAGTCTCCTAGCACTGTGGCCGAAGTAGTGACTTTGTGTCAGAGCTATGATGAATCGCCGAGGCAACTAGCTCAGACGTGACGCTCATTCGAGACCATCGAACCAGTGACCGCACTGGACGTCATGACTGACCAGACAAACTTTCTCACACAAATGAAAGACTTCGTGCGAGAGTAAGTGGCTCGGCAGCTTTCTCTACTGCCCTTTGCTCAACGCCAGGAGCTCTCGCAGCAACAGCCACTGCGACACCCACCATCATTGGCTCCCATGCTCCGACATGTGGTCCAGGAGCAGATTTCCGAGGCTATACCGGTGCCCTTGCAGGAGCCCTCCGTCACCACGCCTCTTACTTACGCTGAGGCATTAAAGCGGCCGCAGCTACACCAGCCCCCGTCGTTCCCCCGATTGCAGCATACCTCAGCCCCGACTTAGCCGTCCACCGCCTGGGCTCCTCCCATTGCTAAGACAGCCTCAACTCCCCCGTCTGCCGCATGGGCTGCCCCTCTCGTCGCCAATACTTAGAGAACGCGTGATAACTAGCCCATCTGTTTCGCGTGTGGCAGTCCTGGCCGTATCCCCTGATACTGCCATCGTCGCGTGCCGAGATACACAGACGCCCGGACACAGAACAGCTTCATGGACATTCCTCCATCTCGTCTGCAAAATTCGGATCATCAGTCAAGCTCGTCTTCACGGGAATGTCCGCATACTATGTCTGGTCGCTCACCTTCACCCTGTCGTCGCTCCCTGTCACCCATGCGTCATCCATGTGTCGGCGAGCTCCTGAACACGAGGGAAACTAACCGCCGCAGTTCCGGAGGCAAGAACTGCGCTGTCGAAATGCTCAAGTCCTCGGACATTGCCATCGAATATTGTCGAAGTTTTCGTTGAAGGTACTCGAGAATATGCTCTAGTTGATACTGGTGCTGCCGTTTCCGTGATAGACGCTAAACTTTGCCGCAAGCTTCGAAAAGTGACTACGCCGCTTGATATGATGTCCTTGCAAACAGTGAATGGGGACCCGGTTCAGCCTGTAGCCGACTGTAGTGTCCGACTGATCATCGCGAAGGACCACTACACTGTTGAGCTTATTGTCCCTTCGTCATGCTCATACGGAATCATACTTAGGATTTTTTATCGCGTAACCACGCCTTTATTGATTGTGCAAAATCGGAATTTGAACCCTTCCCCTATCACCACCAACCAGTCGACCGCATTCAGCCCACCATATACAAACTCGTCGTCAAAGAAGGCACTGAAATTTCTCCGACAGCAGCTGTGTTGCTCCCCGTGTTCTGGGATGGCATTATGGACGAAACTAATCTCTTTGAACCATCAAGCCTCTTACTTAGTCGAAGATCACTTCTTCTGCCTTATTCAACCCTCTCCATTTCTGAAGGAAACAGTGCTCTTTGCCTCATCAGTCCCCTTCCGTATCCCGTCGAACTGTTTCAAGGTGAATCTCTTGGACACGTGCATGCCATTGATAAAGAACAAACTTTTACCATGTGGCAAGATTTTTTGGGTGATTGTGACGCCATCAGTGCCCTCAAACCTTCCAATCTACCACCTTCCGAGCTTTTTCTATTCATCAATCGCCGACGGACTATCCCCATCTGAACGCTCTGAACTTTTTCAGCGGCTCTATCAGTTCCGTGAATTCTTTGACGTTGCTCAACCTACCCTCGGCTGAACTCGCAGCTTTTTTCACTGCATCGACACAGGTTCCAACGCGCCAGTACGACAGTGACCATACCGTGTTTCCGCTGCGGAACGTCAGGTTATCACCGATTAGGTTGGCATTACGCTCAAGCGCTACTTTATACGACCTTCCCAAAGTCCATGGGCATCACCTGTCGTTCTTGTTAAGAAAAAGAATGGTTCAAATCGCTTCTGCGCAGATTATAGGCGCTTTATTAAGATCACTCACAAAGACGTATACCCTTTGCCCAGGATTGAATGACGCCATTGATTGCTTACGAGGTGCCGAGTTTTTTTCGTCGTTAGATTTGCGTTCGGGGTATTGGCAGGTGCCCTTAGCAGATGCCGATCGTCCAAAAACATCCTTCGTGACACCAGACGGGCTATATGAGTTCAATGTCATGCCCTTCGGCTACTGCAATGCACCGGCCACATTCGAGCGCATGAGGGACTCGGTTCTGCGGGGTTTGAAATGAAACATATGCATCTGCTACCTCGACAATATCGCCGTCTTTGCACCCGATTTTGCAACACATCTTCTATGCCTGAAACATGTCCTCAAGAGTCAGAAGAATGCGCAGCTGCAACTGAATCTCAAAAATGCCACTTCGCTGCACAGAAGCTCACCATTCTCGGTCACAAAAAAGACTGCTTAGCCACACTTTGGGCGACTGTCACGTTTAGCCCATACTTATATGGCCGCACGTTTGCTGTAGTTACCAACCCTCATGCCTTATGTTGGTTGTCGTCGCTGAAGGATCCATCAGGTCGCCTTGCTCGTTGGGCTCTGCGACTTCAAGAGTATGACATCCGCGTCGTGTACCGTTCCGGCCGCCAACATGCCGATGCTGATGCGCTCTCGCGATCACCACTGTCGACTGAGGCTGCCTCTATATCTTCTATGGAACACGCGCTGTCCGCTCTTGACATCGACACTATGACCTCTGCAGAGCGCGACGATCCATGGATAACTTCGCTTCTGAACGTTTTATCTGGGGTACCGACACTTCCAACCACTCGAGCAATGCGACGCCAGGCTTCGCACTTCCCCATTCGAGGAGGCCTCTTGTACCGGCGCAATTACTCACCAGATGGCAGGAAGTGGCTGCTCGTTATTGCCCGAAAGCTGCGCTATACAATCTGTGCTTCATTTCACTCCGACCCGCAATGCACTAACGCCGGTGTCTTCAAACCTACGAGCTTTTAAAGAAGCGGTGCTACAGGCGTGGGATGTTTACTTTTGTTCGACAGTTTATTCGCGGCTGCCACGAGTGTCAGCGACGGAAACACCCAATGAATCCAGGAGCAGCTCCGCTACAGCCGCTTGCGTGCCCCGACCGCCCATTCGATCGCGTCGGAATTGACCTTTATGGACCACTGCCATTGACCGCAGCTACCATTGCTGTAGATCACCTGACTAGGTACATAGAAACCGCTGTTCTTCCTACAGCGACCACTCAGGACATCGCAGCTTTCATCCTCCATCGATTTGTGTTAAGTCATGGCCCTCCTTGCGAGCTCCTGAGTGACCGGGGCCATGTATTTATATCCGACGTAATCCAAGCACTTCTCCGCCAGTGCTATATTGTACTCCGGATGAGTACTGCTTACCACCCTCAGACGAATAGCCTGACTCAGTGGTTTAATCGGACCCTGGGTGACATGCTTGCGACGAATGTGACATCTGACCAAACAAACTGGGGCCTGGTTCTTCCGTTTGTGACCTACGCGTACAACACCGATACCCAAGTCACCACCGGCTTTTCCCCATTCTTCCTTCTATACCGGCGTCAACCATCGCGCCCGATTGAAACTTAGCTGCCATACGCACCAGATGAATCTGAGTGTACGACCGTGTCCGAAGCCGCCCGTCACGAATGCGGCCAACTATCAAAGCAGTTTACTACGGCTGACCAGCAACGCCAGAAAGAGGCCCGCGAAGACGACCAACCTCCTGCCGCAAAGTTCGCCCCTAGAACCCTTGTATGGCTGTATGTACCACCCTGTGCACCTGCTTTGTCTACAAATGTACATTATAATTACCATGGTCCATACTGCGTGGTAGAGCTCACATCGCCAGTCAATTACGCCATTAAACCGTTTACGCCGCTCGGTGACCATAATCGGCGTGGACACGATATTGTTCACATGGACCGCTTGAAGCCGTACTTCGACCCGCTCGTTCCCACCTTGGCTGGTTGGTTGGTTCCTCAACACCTTGGCGCGACCCACCTAGGGGGATAGGCCATGAATGGGACGGTGCCTTGCTTTTTAAATTAATTCACTTCTTGAAAGAGAGGGTTAGATTAATTAGGTAATATAGGTAATAATAAAAAGGTGTTACATTTAAAAAAAAAAGAACCTTGAAAAGAAAACATATAAACATACAAAAAAACCACCTGTTATATCACCAGAATGGCTTCATCTTTCTCGACGGGGGCAATTATAATGAAGGAATGATGACAACACCAGGGGGCAACAAGCATCATCGCAGAGAAAGGCACCACGAGATTGGCGCTCGAGCTTCACCATCTTCCTCGTCCTGTGGCTATCTCGAATCTCCCACCTGCCCGTTAGGCTCGCCCAATAAACCTCTTTACTTTAAGATTATTATTATTATTATCACCACCACCACCACCACCACCACCATCATCATCATCATCATCATCATCATCATTATTATTATTATTATTATTATTATTATTATTATTATTGTTGTTGTGTCATGATTGCAATCCATCCATTTGTCAGTGTTATTTTACTTGCGTAATACAGTATTTGAACTAATAGCACCTCAAAAGTTGAACCTAGCCTTTTCGTTTCTTCAGCCAACCTTCGTTAACCTGCCGGGCTCTGCGTTTTTTTTTTATTCCTCTCTTGCAGTTCCGGAAGGCTGACGTTCTTCAGAATTTGCTTGATGCTGAATATCAAGAGGAGAGCCCAGAGACTGATAATGGCTCGCCACAGAATGGTAATATACCTTGATCTACGCAAGTAGATCACACCTCAGTTGTGTGATTGATCGGAAGTCATAATAACGCCTACAATAACAGACTTTTTCTAATAAAATCCATGCCAAATTTATAGGAAGTGGTAGCACAGCCATGTGCAAGTAAATGCATAGTAATATTGTGTTATGTATGTACACAACCAATAATTTTGTGAAGCCATAAATAGCACAGAGGGGTTATTTATTCATTGTGTTGGGTTCACCACACATGTAGTTACCTTCGTGCTTGCATAAGACCAGGCTGATAGCTTTCAGTTTAAGCCTGAGATAATATTGCCTTGAGCTTAACAAATCATTTTTTACAAAGGTTAGCGCATAAATTTGATTTATATTTGGCAAAATATGCAAAGGTTGGCTACGTTAGAGCCGGCTATTCCGACATCATGACAGTAATGTACAAGATAAACAGAAAAATACGAAAAAAGCAGAATAAAAAAGAAAAAAATAATCGGAACCACTATGTGCATATATACGCACATACTGCGTATCATTCATTTTTCAACGACATTTTGCAGCGAGAACTCTAAAAAGCCGGGCATTGACAAAAGAAGAAATTCTCGTAAGTGCAGCTTCAACATTTATTGCAGGGTAAGTAATCGTGTTTACTAGTGGCAAAAAAGTAACAATGAATATAAATTATAGTTATTGCAAGATTCGCCATAATATAGAATCCAGGAAGGTATTTTAGAGGCCAAAACACACCAAATAAGCATGACAAACTAGACAAGACGCACGTTTTTTCCCGTCTATAGTTCCTCCCATCTTCTTGTGTATGTTGAGCGCTTTGGGCTCCCAAATACCTTCATGGATAAGTACAAAGTTTTTCGACTTTGATCTTCTGAATCATATGTTTTTTAAAGCAAGCGTTCACATTGTATAGATAGACATTACGGCTAATCCATTCGCGAATTATATCCAACTTGCAAAGAATCCTGCTGCACCTCAACACAAGAACTATTCATCTCTATAGTCGCATGCCACTTAAGTTCGGAAAGGCACCGCCCAGACAACCCAATCGCGGCAGCCGAATGCCTCCATTACTGAAAAAATATTTTTGCTCAAGCCCACATAGCCATGTTCTCCGAAGGTTGGATAACCAGTTTCCCAGCTCATGACGTCAATCCGGAGTGCATGCCCATTAGTGCAGTCTTGTATATTGCCACCTACTTCTAGTAGTGGGTCGTATGCCAAGGTAAAGGCTCACACCTCAGAGAAGAAAAACGTGCGCGTGCCCCCCCCCCCCCCCTTCCCCCTGCTTTCGAAAACAAGCCCAACCGACGCGCTTGGTTAGAGCCCTGTTGCTCAGACGTCAATAAACCTTGTCGACACCCCCTGGAGCGACGTGACAATATATTCATTTTTGAGGAGGAATGACCACAGAAGGCTAAAGCCGTAGCCGACTATAGTAATCTAACACAAATAAACAAACAAATAACCAAAGTTTCGTTTGCTGTTATCGCCTAAACGCATAATTTGCCCCTGCTCTAGCTGTACAAACATCACTAAAGATAATTGCAATGTTGCTCACATAGAGCAAGTGTACGACTCGCGACTATTTTATTTCGATACTTTGGTCACGGGTTCGAATCCCGGCTGCGGCGGCTGCATTTCCGATGGTGGCGGAAATGTTGTAGTCCCATGTGCTCAGATTTGGGTGCACGCTAAAGAACCCCAGGTAGTCCATACTTTAGTCCATATTAACTATATCTCTGTGGGCGACAGCAGTACCACAGCACTGTAATGCTGGAGCTATTAAAGATAGCCGAAAAGCCAATGATAAGCAAGTTTGCGAATACCTTTCCCCGTTTTCTTTCTCGACTGTTTGCAGGTATGACACAACATCTACATCCTTAAGTTACGTAACGTACCTACTGGCGAAGCACCAAGACGTTCAAGAGAGAGTCCGGAGAGAAGCCAACGAAGTGTTTTCCAGTGAGGCTAGTACAGTGCCTTTCATCTTGTTGCCACCGCAATGACATCCTAAGATTAGTAATTATGTTTCTTTATTTTGTGAATCACTAAGTGAAACGCACGATAGGAATGCCTAGCAAATGCTAAGAAGATGCCTGGAGAAGTCTTCGTAAATTGTGTAAGTGCTTTCAGGCTATAACAAAACTAAGTGATTCGCACCGCAAAACTAAGTGATTCGCACCGCAAAATGACCACCTTGTACATGAGTGCCCCTCTAATACTGTAATTTCTCGCCTCAACATCTGCATTGATGGGTAAGGAATAAGCTCCCACTTCCATATAATCTAAGCCGGTGCGCTTTTGATTTTTTGAATGGCTTTTCTGGGTAGGTCTAGTAGCGTTGGTAAAAGCGACAAAGTACGTGATTTGATGGTGAGTGAAGTGGTACTTCAAGAAGTTGAAGACCAGCTCAACGGAAAACGCCGAAAATTGCAAATGAACAATCGAGATCTGAGTCGAATGCGGGCAAGATAAACAAGTAGATAATGGAATGAATGAATAAAACATCTTCGAGATCACACAAACAGGTGCAAAATCTGAATCCCTCAAGCAATGAGTCCAACACGTCGAAATTGACCGGCGCATTAGAAAGACCGAAGAGCATCACGATGAACAGATGAATAATATCCGGACTGACAAATTCAGTTAGCTCGTGGTCCATCTCATCGGCGGTAATCTGCCGGTAGCCGTTCGATAGTTGATAGTTCAGTAGCGGCGTGGAGGCAGATTGCAGCAGTGCCACCAAATGCAGAGATCGCGCCACATGCAAAATCATTGAGGCAGGTGATTCAAAGGATGATTGCGTGAGTACCCCTTTGCCACCCACACTGGTAAAGAAAAGATATGTTTATGTTTCTCAACGTGATGACTTATTCTAACATTATTGCGTTCCGCGTAAGTGTTGCAGCTGTGTTTAATTGCATAAAGTCGAAAGCTTTTCAAATAAATATATTGTTGGAATTTCAGCGTTCTGTGTCCTTTTTTCTGTCCCCCCTGTCAGTTGCGTGATTCGAACTCATAATCATGTTGTGCCAACATGCCCAATCCTAAAGTCTTCAGTTTTACTTCACACTGCTTAGTGCACCCAAACTGTGGTGTGGGCTGAAATGCAACCTTTAAATACTGCCTAGTGTCATGCCTAAGCCCAAAACTAGCAAGTTTAGGATTGCAGTGGTTATTTGCCTACAAGCATGCAAGCTCACACATGAACGCCTCTTTTGCTTGTGTTCTTTGGATTTGCAGCGTGATGATGAAGAGTGTCAAATTTGTACAGGAGGAGTTGGACTACGAAACTGTGACAAAGAAGCTGCCATACTTAAGTCAAGTCGTCAGCGAGGCTCTTCGCTTGTACCCCCAGTACTCACGTGAGTACATCCTCATGGTGAATTTCAGTACTTTGTCAGAAATTTTGACACACATTATTGTCCCATACCTAATGAAACGTACTATTTTAAGTGTCAAACCCATAAATTGTGCATGAATTCGGCACACAGTAATACCAGTATGCTGCCCACCAGTATGTCGCAGTGCTTGAGAAACACATCTGAAATATACGTGCACAAAAGCGCATAAAGTTTACTTCTCGTAAATTTTCTTGCTTTATTAGGCTAGGAGAATTATTTGTTCTTGTTCTTCACGTTGGTTGATGAAAATGGTGCATATCTAAATCATGCTACAGTCATTCTGTCATTACATTTTCAAAACAGTTAATCGAAACTTCGCAAAGACAGATAGGCCTTACCAAAGCGCAAAAATTGTCAGCCACTCGACGTATGAAACTGCAGCAAAGTAATCTTCGCAGTTAAATGAAGAACATCATGGTTGGTCATTTCCGTTTCGTGATTGGCCTTTCCGTGGCGGTCGCTGTATGATCTGAGCTAAGTGGCCAGAATAGAACACCGCGAGGCTGAGTTGATTTAAAGTGAAGGGACACTAGCAATGACAATTATTTTTGGATCTTATAAAATTTTGCAGAATTTACTTATTATTATCGCTGTATCCGCGCTTGGAATCATCATAGAACGATTGCTCGTGCTGCAACTATACTCTGCTTTATACATCAGGTGCAATGCTGTCGAAGTTAAGCAAGAAGTTCGGGCAGAAAAAATATGCAAGCCTGTGCGTCTCGTGTTTGGACTTCGTCATTGTAAATGATGCGACTGGCTGCGGCAGCGTGCTGCCGGAACCAATCGCAGAGGTCCCAATAAAAAAGAAACAGAGAGACGTAAAGTGATCCAGAACCATATAAATAACGCGGTTTCTTCATTTTTATGCCCAGAGTATCTTCATTTATTACTTAGACTGAAACAGGAAAAAAATCACTTTTCGTGTTGTAAGATTATTGTAATATTTCTTCATGTAAATGGATCTATTACGAGAAATCTTTGTAGATTTCCTTCTCTTCTAGAGTCTTTTACGGCTTTCACCTATCTCTATATATAGTAGCATTGTTGGGATGTAAATACGTCGGCAGAAATTTGTTCTTTTAATTAACAGTCTCTTTCTCTCTAGCTTCCATATCACTGCAAAAAATTTTGCTCCCTTGAGGGTGCATTTTTTTACCATGGGCAACACCTTCTTAGGATGTTTAGAAACCCCCTAAAACGTGGGATGTAAGGACAAGTTACTAACTATTTTTACAGGCGTGTATGAACACCATAAACTATGTGTGTTATACCTATGTTACACAGGCAAATCAAGCGCGTTTACGACCAACCACGGTTCGCCGATGTTACACAGCGCGAAAGCATCCTCGGTGAAAGTGGCTAACGCCATATGGCGTAGAACAATCAACAGAGCCACTTCCTTGCCTTTATATGCTCCGAATACATTCAGCAGCAACCAGGCAAAAATGTCATATGTGCCCCCTAGTATATTCATGTACTTACCGGTACTTCTTGTTCAGATTGTCCATCTTCTTCCAGACTTGCTTTGACATGAATTGCTCCGCATCAGATGGAAGTTCGGCGTTCAACTTGGCTCTAATTGCCGCGTACATCTTTGCATTGCGTGACGTGCTCCCCATATCACGCAAATTATTTTACCACATCCTTGTCAGGCTTTACGCGTGGTTCGTGCCGTCCAGCTCGTCCTTTATCACGCGCGCTCGCTGGCATGCACTCATCGCTGGTGAGCACCGTCATTTTCTCGGTTATCTGTCTAACCGAGGTTGCAGAGCTTGGTTTCTTAAAACCACGGTTAACGGCATAACCGCAGTTTTGTGTGCCGTGTAACATCAGTAAACAGCGGTTAACGTAACCGCGGTTAGCGTAACCGTGGTTGAGGCTGCGTGTGTCAAAAGGGCATTAGTTAAATATTAGTTAAATCTACGTCCTTGCAGTGGGCTGTAGCACATAAAAACACACTTGAAGCGATGACAGTTACATGTGTAAGTATACTTGATAAAATGAAGCACAATTAACGGGACAACAAAAGTAAAAACTCACAGGAGGAAATGATTCATTCTGTGTGTCTGCTGTTTTGTTGTCCCTTTCATGGCACTTCATTCCATGAAATGTGCCTCACCAACTTGTTGAAGCCTAAACTGTTCTATAGAACAGTGGAGACACATAAGGCGAATGGTTTCCTCCTTCGTGTCTCTCCTGTTGCTGTCCCGTTAATTGCGCTTCATTTGATCAAGTATGCTTATACATCTAACTGCGATCGTTTCAAGTGTGTTTTATGTGCTACACCCCACTCGCACAGATGTAGCTTGATCTAACACACATACCTTAGGGTTGTTCATATGCACCTGTAAACGTAGAGTGTGACGCCTCCTTACACCCTACGTCTTAAGGTATTTCTAAACATACTAAAAGTCTGTATGGGATAAAAATACACTCTTAAGGATGTAGAATTTTTTCCAGGGATAGCGTTGCACTTGATGTATTAAACTGCCAGAACCCAGAGCAACCCCCGACAGATTACGAAAAAGCGGGAACCTTCGTGCCAGAAATCTCATGTGCCTCATCAGACACGGACCTTCACGAACGTGGCGTAGAGTGCACCAGCTTACGTGACCTAATACTTGTGAAAAAAAAGAAACGGAGCTCGAGCCGCAATTGAAGCAAACCATTTTACGTTGCATGTGACTGTTTTACCACAGAGCCACGCCAACGTTTGAAACTGCTTCGCAAAAAGACCATATACAGCGGGGAATGAGCGTATTGAATAGCTCAGGTGTCCTACCACGGGAACTGTGTAATTAGTGAGGGGCGCACAGCTGCACAAGGGCTCAGCTTCATCCAGCCATCAATAATCACAATAATCAATAGCATCAATAAGGCGCGCAGCTACGTAGGAGAGCGTATTTTCTTACAAACGAGCAGACGATTAGTGTCTACTTCACTGAAGCATGTACATCGTTTACGAAATTACACGAAGATAAGTCTGTAAAGTAACAAGAACGCCGACAAAGGTTTGTCACTATGTTTGTCTCCGACCAGACGATATTCCGTCGACTCTTGACTAAAGATAAGTTTCTTCGTATGAAGCGTTCCGAGGTTTAGTGCTGTGCATATCTGGCGTTTCACGAAACTGTTCATAAATCCTCGAAAATAAGGAAAATTCGATATTTACTCGATGTCTTAAGAATTACTTGCTCTGTGGCCACAGGCATCATGAAATGGCTATGGGTGTCATTCGGGACAGTAACTAAGACATTTATAATATACTTTGTTTAATCAGTGGAGTTGGGTGATTATGCCAAATGGTATAATTAAAGTCTTTTATGCAAAGTACTCATGGCGGCGTTGAGCATTTCAGAAAAAATTGTCTCTGGTAATAAGTTATACAAATGAGTACTGCGGAGACCTGCAAGGTGGCGGAAGGTTTAGGAAAGGGAAAACAGACAGCCACCCGTTTGTGGCGCGAAGTCACATGGATATACATACTAATTTCTCAGAAAAAAAAAAAAACCTCTTGGTGCCGAAAAATTTATCCTGGTCCGGAGATGAAACCCCGAGACCAACTATTTCTCGACCTCTAGTAATAACTGCAAAGTAGTAAAATTCAAACAAATCTTAGTTCAACGCCGAAAGTGAAACCGAAACTCGCGAGAGCGCAAATACCACATTCTCCTCACATGTCCAGTAGCATAATCGTCGTTACATCAACCATGGGCCAACTTCGTTATGAGGCTTGCGGGCTGTGCTTGCAGTTACGGCAGGCTTAGTGCGCATGCGCTAACAGACGTAGAGGAACTATGCCTCCGTAATCACTGTCTTGAAAAGGGACGTCATTCTGGTAGTCTGCTTGTTGCACTAGTCAGTGCTTCGGTATCGGTTTCATCATCTAATCCTTTTGAATTTATTTGCGGCACAATTTATAATTGAGGCCACTTTGTATCTGGTAACTGTGATGGATTCTTCGCATCAGCAACCCTAGTTCTCAAATTTGACATATCCACCTACAATTAAAATTACGCAGTTAATTAGTTTATCATTGTATTGAAGAGGGATGCTATTCTGGCAGTCTGCTTTTTGCACTAATTAGTGCTTTGGTGTCAGTTTCATCACCCAATTCTTTCGAATTTATTTACGGCACACAATGTGCTTGAGGCTGCTTTGTATATATGTCGTAACTGTGATGGGTTCTTCGCATCAAGAACCCTTGTTCTGAGGTTCCACATATCCACCTACTCCCCAAATTACGTGGTTAATTAGTTTAGCTTACCTAATTACTGTCTCAAACGATGTATCTAGCCGTCTTCAGATGCCTGCGGCTACAGAAGAAGTGATTTCAAAAGCATTTAACAAATAACGCAATTCTCGTTTTTTTTTTGAGTATTTCGCACACATGTCTTGAAACACACGGTACGTACTAAGCCGTTCGGGTTCACTTTTGTGTTGCAGAAGTCACACACGCTCTGGCATTTTAACGTTGCAAGAGTGTGACATCTGCGTAGCATTTCTTTTGTTTCAAAACATTAGTTTTTTTTGGGGGGGGGGAGATTTGTGTGGAACTTTGGGTCACTACGTACATAAAACAGGTGCATGACAAATGCATACCTTTGCCATTATTCGTATTGTAGTGAGCTAAGGCTTTGGAAGTGAATTTCAAAATTTCGCTGCACAGCAGCGGTAATGAAACCTCTGACTATAAGTTTTGAAAGTGTTTTAAAGATACATCCAGATTACATTTGAACTAAAAGTTGGTTTGAAATTGCGTTTTGTGTTTGTTATATTTGTATATTTAATTATTTTTAGAAACTTACTTTTTAATCAGAATCTGCTCTTGGCAGAGCATCGCGATTTAGCACAAATGTAGATACTGGTGTTTACAGGCGTGGAATGAAAATTTTTAGAGCATAATAAAAATTATATTTGGGATGTTGTTTTACGTTTTTTTATGTGTTAAAATCGCGACTTAGGTATAGTTTTTCTTTTTTTTAATGATGAAAAAACACTGGTAAACCTAGGCTGCTGGTACTAACTAAAGTTATCTAAGCGTCATTGTGGAACACATGGGAATAATTTTGTTCATTCACGGCTGATATATGTTTTGAGAAAAGGTACAGAAACCTTAAAAATATTGTGAAAAAAAATTAGTTTTACTCTTCACACGCATTTCCTGTCAACGTGTAAAAGCAAAAAAAAAATGTTCTTAGAACAAAGAGTGCCCAATTGTGATATATTCAAGTGGTTGCGGAATAACGAAATTGAGTTTTTTTTTTGCCAAAGCAAGTGCTGCCCCAACTGAAGTTTACTCAACTTCGTTTGACGCCCCACATGACCTGCATCGCCTTCTATGAAGCTTAATTTTCACCCATACTCTTACGTTTACTTACGTCTACCAGTTACTCATAATGTCATAACGATATATGTCATCTCGACTAAGGTTAAATTGGTGAACATTTCTCTCGATCTTCTGCCCACTGCTGACACCTCGCTTCAGACCATGCTTTTCCTTTTACGGTTTCTTCTGAACAGATTCACATCGAGGAAGGCCGTGAACGACTTTGAGCACAACGGTGTGCAGTACAAGGCCGGAACGTGTTTCTCATCTCCAATACTACAAGTTCACAGAGACGCACGCTACTGGCCTGACCCACTAAACTTCAATCCTGACAGGTAAGGATTGGCGATTCACTCAAGCTCAGAGAACAGCTGTGCGCAAATATTAAGCTAGAAACTAAGTAAAAACTTGCTTGCCTCTTGACTCTACAAGCACTATGTACGGGAAGCGCATAAACGCAGCCACGAAGCCCTTTCCACGGCAGCTGTATAAGCACGTTTCTTGTCACATTATATTGTTACACAAGGTAAGGTAACTTACCAGGAAATACAAGGGAAGCGCGGGTAGAGAATGAAGACGACGTTGCATTCATTGCGATCCCTCTGCGTGGGTACGAGCCATGGTGGTGGAGATCATCATCATTATACTGTGATCGCGGACTCAGGGCCCATTAAAACCCCATTAAGTTACCTTACCTTGTGTAACAATATGTCTGTGTAAATTCTTCACCTGGCAAATCACTGACGGGCAGTGTGTTCTCAGAAGCAGCGCCACATGGAGGCGAAATTGAGCAAAATAAAGGTGAAAGGCACGAAACGGCCGCTTATGAGGGAATAACAACGCAGGCCAATTAATACAATCGCGTAGTAATTACGCTAACTACCATAATGTCTGGTCGCACAAGCAAACAGAAACACATCTCGCTTAGTGATGCCGAAAACTTTACTTCTCAATGATGGAAGGCAAGGGGTAGCGGGTGAACCCCTGTTTGAGTGCAAGCGTAAGCGCTCTATTTCTCGAATCACCGTTGTTACATCAAACCCTGGCCAATGCCACGAGGCATTTTATATACGGCAACGCACGAGGGAATAGCACCAATTCGCTTGCGCGTTTCTCGCGTTCACGGAGAGAAAAATTTGCTGTAACATTATGCGGCTTTTCGTGTTTCTCTTCCTTATGTGACGATCACAGATTTTCTCCGGATAATGAAAACAACTGTCAGAAGGTCGCGTACCAAGCTTTCGGCATTGGACCACGCAACTGTATAGGGATGCGCATGGCACATATGGTGCTGTACTCCACCATCGCCCGATTGGTTCAACGGTTTCGATTCGACCTGGGGCCTTCGCAAGAGAACGTAAGTGCGTTGCGATAATAAAGTAAAATCGAAATTGCAAAGAGGGCTAGCGATGCATGAGAAGGTTTTTACTCTAGTATATTCAGCTTATTGGCAACATGTTTTGATGCTGGTCTCGATTTACGAGCACTCGTGGTAGTTTCAGCGTCATTTAAAGGATTCCTATTTGTTCTGTTAGATGTGTGCTGATGTGGGTACAATATAGCAAAAAGAAAATAAGCATGCCTAGAATTTCAAAACATATTCAGCATCTTACTTAGTTTGCAACACATTTTTTTTTTCATTTTCCACCTCCTGGACAACCAATTCTGAGCCGTCCAGAGCAGCCGACAGCCTTGGCCTGATGGTGACGACGTTGTATAGTCACGCGCTGAGAGCAAACACATGTCTTGTGAGACCTTATAAAGGTTTGAGACCAACCAACGATTCGATTAACTGCGATTAAGTATACGTTGAACAAGGCTGTTTGCTTGTGTCTCATCTCATGATAAATTCTAAGGCAAGCACTTAAAAACAACGTTTACAGAAAGCTTGTCAGTATATGCACTGTATTCAAGTTGCGTGATGGTTTCAAATAAAAAAAATGCATTGTGCGAAGTACTGTCTGATCAACTGATTTGAAGTTTTTATTCCTTTTTCATAATTTATGTGGTTGCAGGGCCCCCTCGAGATCGTTTCTCAAGCTATAGTTTCAAAACCAAGCAACGGTCCCTGGATTCTCTTCAGGAGGATCTAAATAATGGTAACGAAAACAAAGACCTCGCCGTGTAGGCCAGACAATCCGGCACCATACATGAAGAAGACGATGAAGAGCAGCGAAGGATGTACCTTTCTTTGAGTATTTGTGTCATCACACAGTGGGCTGCTGTACACGCTTGATTGTCAACTGAGATACCTGAGGGCATAATCGAAGCGGCCACACATAGAAACAAGGTGGTGTAGCGCCTATAACGCAAGACAGAGCACGCGAACTGTGCACACATTTGCGCTAACTTTCAACATCTGATTTCTTACGTTTTCTTGAAAGTTACGCGAGCCTGTGTGCGAGTGCGTGCGTGCGTGCGTGCGTGTGTGTGTGTGTGTGTGTGTGTGTGTGTGTGTGTGTGTGTGTGTGTGTGTGTGTGTGTGTGTGTGTGTGTGTGTGTGTGTGTGTGTGTGTGTGTGTGTGTGTGTGTGTGTGTAACTGAAAACGCATACACACACGCAGGACTTGAACACACTGGCACAAATACAGACACACATAGTTGGAAAACAAAACGTAAGCATGTGTTCTTCTAATGTTTGTTGAAAGTTAGAGCCAAGGGCGCAGGCACGTTTGTGTATGCTTGTTGGACGGAGGGAGGGGGGGTACCACCCACACGCCCACGAACACATACGACCAAATAATATATTGAGAGTTAGTGCAAATGGGGATGTGTTTTGGGTGGAGACAAGGGAAACTACGCGCGCACAGACACAACAGACGCGCAAACATACAAGCGGCACTAACTTTCAACATCTTTTGTTAAACTGCTTGTTGAGGGTTAGCGCCAAGGGCGTTCATGTGTGTACTCTTTTCAGTCCTATGTTACCTGCGCCCCCCCCCCCCCCCCATTTGAAGATTGACTACTTCAACAAGCCAGATGTAATGCCTTAGAGTGACGACTTTCAGTAGTCGTAGAAAGCTGGCTGCTGGCGGACAGAAATGAATAAAGCTCTTTCAGAGATTCCATTCTGTGTTGCGTTAAGTCTTTCATAACAGAGAGAAATATAGAGGAAAGGCAGGGAGGTTAACCAAGCTTGGCTCGGTTGGCTACCCTACACTTGGGGTAGGGAAAGAGACAATAATAGAAAAAGAAATATAGAAAAGAAGAAGAGAACAAAAGAGATAGATAAATAGTCACCTAAAGACTACACAACACTGTCTTCGCGCTGTTATATCACAAGCACTCGTGAAGATTCGTGGTCCTTAAGAATCACAAGAGAGCTTTCGTGGCTTTGCGTGCATGCGAGACCGTCGGCCAATGTTTCACGATCTTTTCTGTAAGTGGTCGTGAATCCAGGTGACGGAGCTTGGCTTCTATAGCACGTCGTTCAGATTGGTTTGATGTATGGTGGCATGGAATGTGCTCAAGCGTCTCCTCGCAGGCGCAAATGTTGCACGCCGTACTGCTCATCATTCCACTGAAACATGAATACACATTCGTAAATGCGATGCCCAACCACATTGGACGCAGTAAAGTTTTATGGCGTCGTCAGTGCCTGGACGGCAAATGAAGTTGCAAGTTTGGGTAGATCGAATACTGGCGCAAGTTGGAGAAATCCTGCGCATTCCATTGCAGAGGCGTGATATGGAGAGCAAGTGATTGTAGTTTACGCGAAGCGTCCGTTCTCAAGAGTGGTATGGGCGTAAGCAGGTCTTGGTCATGATCCGATCGAGCAGCTTCATTCACGTGGTCACTGCCGACAATTCGGCAATGACTCGGCAACCATTGAAATGCAAAATCGTGTCCTTCCTCGAGCGCTTCGAGGTAGTTGTCCCTTAACTGATATAATGATTGTTGGAATAATTCATGCCGTAAAGCAAACTGTAGTGTTTGTAAGGCTGACCTCGAGTCGCAAAAGATGGCCCATTGATTATGTTGCTGCGGAGGAATGTACTTGACCGCACTTTGAAGCGCTGCAAGTTCTGCTGGTGTCGACGTTCAGATGTGAGAGAACTTGTATTGTAGCAACATGAGACTCATATCTGATGAAGATTCCGTCTATCTATCTTAGATAAGCAATAAAATTCATCTTCTTTTGTCTCATTACTTTATTCTGTCGTCCCCTCAAAGATGTATCAAATCCACCTAATGCTACACACCTGCATTTTCTTATTTTTTGTTCTGCATTTCTTAAGGTGAAATTTATAATATTTCAAATACCGCGTATGTATTCGATGACTCCAGGTAATACTTCTATAGTGAGCAATCTCAGAAAAAAATTATATATCGTGAAGCTTCATAACAGCAATCAGAAAACGAGTTCGGTGGCACACTAGATTTATTGTGTGAACTGATCAACAAGAAAAGCCATTTTAGGTATCTATGATTAGCTCATTCTCGCATATACTGCAATAAGTTATGAAGCATATCATACATTACAGAGTCTAGTTTAGGAATGCACATTTTTTTCAGTAAATTTATTATTCAATATTGGAGCGGTTGTGTTTCCCAACGCGACCAGGCCCACCGAGCTCTCCTTACATTTATGAACCAAATGGACCTGGCCAACCGTTTATAGATGTTTTTTAAATATTTTTATTTGTTTTTTACTCATACTCGTCAAACTCTTCGTCTATTTGTTTTTCTTTTTCATTCTCCGCTTCTTTCCTCTTTCTTCTATCTAGTCGTTGTTTCCTCTGTTTCTTCCCCTCCTCCCGAAAGAGTGAGGAGGCGTTGTGGCCCTCCAGGTGGCAGTTGCCAGCTTGCTCTCTCCCTCTTTCCTCTGTGTGCTTGTGTATCTGTATATGCAAATCAAATCAAATAATAATGAATAAAATTTACGACGCCCACCATCCCACTAGCGAAACGTTACGAGACTCTACAAGACTTACAAAGAACTCATAAGATATTTTGTTAAGGTATGGAAAAAACGGTTTGCACTGAAATACATCACAAGAACACACTATATTAAAGTATGAGGTTAACGAAAAGACTCATACTTGACGGTCCCATTTCAAATTTATTAGAAGCTCATGCCCTCTGTGCAACAAAAGCATTCTGATATTCGCACGCATTGATGTCAAATTTTCCGGTAGGTTCTGGTGCCATGTATAACAAACAGTTGTGACATACGTATGAAATGGCGCCTGCGTCTGCGTTTTATTGTCATCAAGGTTCTTTTCATTCAGCCCACTGTCCTGTTCACGTCGTGGCATGCACAGGTATAAACGAAAATCTTGCAGTCCATTCTCGTGCAACTGTTCGTCTTTCAGAATCAACAACTCACCTCATAGCTTTATGGCAGCTCTAAAAAGTTTTTCTCACCATAATCATTCTCAGGCAGACCCGCTACCACTCCATGTTTGGTGCAGCTGACAGACTTGCACATGTTGCGCAGTTAACATAAACTTGAGAAGTCAGATCCTAAGCTAACGGGCTTACGCGTTGATAGTCATACGAAGTGAATTAGAAGCTTGCGAGATCACTACTGCGGCGTGTGCTACAATCGTTGAATGCCGAGACCACGCCTTGAATGTGATTGATGAGTGATTGATACGTGGGGTTTAACATCCCAAAACCACCATATGAGAGGCGCCGTTGTGGAGGGCTCCGGAAATTTCGACCACCTGGGGTTCTTTGACGTGCACCCAAATGTGAGCATACGGGCTTACAACATTTCCGCCTCCATCGGAAACGCAGCCGCCATAGCTAGGATTCGATCCCGCGACCTGAAAGTCAGCAGCCGAGTACCTTAGCCACTAGACCACCGCGGCGGGGCACGCCTTGAATGTGGAGCGACACGGTAAGCACCGAGCGTTCCGCGGCATCGCTACCTTTCCAAAAGAGCGAGAGGGAGAAAACGCTTTACAAACGAGTCAAGGCCATTCGTTCGTGTTCTTTCCCACGCCGATCGCCAGAGCGAATGATAATGCGCAGCGGTCACTTAACGGTGTCGACGATAAAGTGTTTATGTAGTGTGTTCGGTGCGACGGCGGGGAACAGTCTTCCTCGCTGTAATGTTTCCGTTATACGTCACGATTATCTTGATCGGCATTTGCCTGGCTGCAATTTTCAGGTAAGGTCTTCATTTGAAACGTATACACATTACTATAATGATAATTGTTGGGGTTTTACGTCCCAAAGCATAACAGAATGATGTCAGACGTCGTAGTGGAGATTGGAATCCGGAAGTTTGGCAACTCGTTCTTCTTTAGCGTGCACTTAAACCTATGTGCACGGGCCACAACCATTTCCCGTCCATCGAAATGCGGCCGCCGTCTGCCAGGTTTTTTGGGTTTTTTGGAGCAACCTTTTGGTCAGCACTCGGGCACCCTAACCACGAGACCACCGTGAGGGGTTACTCTTTACTTTCTTAGGTAGGAATGTCCAGCATTCACAACAGCTTCGTAAAACTTAGGAACGTGAATGACAACGCCGTAGTGAGACTGGCAGTACCGTTAAAGATCTGTGGACAGGATCATGCAGCTCCTATACAGGCGACTGCGAAAGTGATGTCGCATTCCACGCCAGATCATTCGACTCTTACTGACTATAGGCACTTGTGCACATGCTGTGTGATGTGCTTTCTGTTCCATTTCTTCTCTATTCGTCTCCTTCTTACAATCTCCCTCATCTCTTTCCCACGTGTAGGTAGCAAACTGGTGGTCCCGGCCTGGTTGACCTCCTTACCTTTATTTCTCTACCATTCATTTCCTCTTATCTCAATGACAATACTGTTATTTTCGCAATTTAGCCGTCCATGCAGCTGGCCTACCAGCACGTTAACTGAAGTATAATAAAGACTTTGTACTCCAGGTGGAAACTGCCTGCCTATTGGTGCTTCACTCCCCATGAATTTAGCAGTTGACATGTACGCGCTTGCAGTAAAAAGCTTCTTCTGCCAAAAAAATACAAAAAACAGATACCTATACTTTTTAAAAGTCACGTTTGCATAAAAGTTATTACTTTGTCGATTCATTGCAAGTTATCCTAAAAGCGTGATGTGACATACGCCGAAGTTTTGCGTATTGGAATATGAAGAACGCCTTTTCAAAAGCTGGTGCGACTAAACCAAGATATTTATCCACCTACAATTTTGCTTCAAAGCGCGGGTGCGAGTGCAAATGTGCAAGAGCGAATGCCGAAATGTTGGACTGCACTTGCTGTAAAGCTATTCCTGTGGTGTGCAGGTTCGCGGGAACGTGGATTGTAATGCGAATAATTCTAAAAGCAGAATGCTTGTGTTCCTACAATGCATTATTGCAGGAAATACGACAGAAACTTTGTATTAACATATTTTTAAGAGAACAGAAAAGACGGCTGTGGACACGCGTGTTTGCTGTCGAAACGTAATTTTGAAAAAATTCATCTACCGCGGCATCTTTCAAGCTTGTAATTTTGATAAAAGTAAACTGCATCGAGATCACTGAAAATGGTACTTCAAATGCTTAGCATAAAGAACTTTTTTCACTTTTGCAGTGCTTGAACCCCACTGAGTGTACATTTTTATAATGTCTGCGTATAATACTATACTAAGAGCTGTTCAATGCAAACAGAGGACGACATGCTCATCCTGTGTTTATCACTTTTTTTTATCTTGTGGCCATCTATTAGTTCACTTTCAAGCAATGAGTTGCGGAGGGTTGACCAAATTTGCTCTATAAGGCTTTTTTCCAGCATATACAGTCACTCTATAAGTTTGGCCCACTTCTCTTTGTTTCTGTTCATTAAAAAATAATCTTATGCTTCCAGATGGCGCAAGCGGCATTTCTCCTATTTCAAGAACCTGGGAATCCCTGGTCCAGAACCGAGCCTGCTATGGGGAAACATTCGAGAGTTCCACGAAACAGTGAGCAGCCCATAAAAAATAGCTGCGCAAGGTTCAAGAGTATAGACATTTTCTACGCAAAAAAAAACAAAAACAAAGAGTATGGTTGCTTTCTTCATCGTAGGAATTGGTAAAACACGAAAGTGAAACGTATTTACAGAAGTAGTAATGTTTAGTTCACATTGATACAAGAGAGCTCGCGCAATGTCTAAGGGTATGTGACAGCTGTTGTACCACTTGTAACGTGGTTGCATTTACGTTGAAGTTATTCATAAATTTCCATCCCGATGGTTAACATCAATAACTATAAATTAAACAAACCCTCGTGGTCATATATGCTTATGGTAGCTGTACCAGTTAACGGTGAGAAAAGAACCAGAGATAGCGCGATGCGACTGTGACTTATTGGACGCCGAACTTGGACTGAGGTCTCCTACTCGCGGCACATTGGAGTTATTGAACTGCGCTGCTCGACCAGAGGGAAACGCATGGAACGTCGTGACTTCTTTTTGGCCAGCCGCAATTATTCCCGGGGCGAGCATGGGAAACACTGAGTTAAAGCAAAGGAAGGTGAAGCCGAATAGCACCAAAAAGCTGTGTTAAGTGTAGATGGATGCTATCAGTTACGCCGGTGCTTTAAGCCCCTGAATTTCACGGCGCTTGAGGTAAGATCGCTGCCTGGAGGTGTGTCAAGGCCTCGACAAAATCGCAGTTCTCCTGAAACGCGCTGAAGGGGATGGACACTTGGAAAGGACGCGTTGAACGAACTAACCGTGGATTCCATTACCACCATGCATTACTGCAGTTCACCAAGAGCGCTGTCGGAGGACATTGGCAAATATAAAATACGTATTTTTAAGGCGTACAAAGTATGTTAGCGCGGCACAGTGGAGGCATGCCTGGTGTGTATAGTCACGGACCCGGAGGTCATGGGTTCTGCTCGGGTTGATGGACATTTTCTTGCTTCTCTGATACTGCGAATTTATTCGACGTGTTTTCCGTGACAGAAACATGCCACTGAAATCTTGGTGGACCACGGCATGAAATATTTTCGTGTTGAAAATGCGGCTATCACTGCGTCAATGCACCCATAAACATTTAGCTCAACTATCTGCTTCTCTGTATGAGGTGTGGTCCAGTCAAGCAACACTGAAAGTTAATGTCACACACCGCGAAAGACAAGACTGGACTATGACTGAGCGTGCGCGCGTGTGCTGCCAAATGTGCTGTTTCTCTGTTCCCTCTCTGCTCTCTTTCATCTCCCCCTTCCCTTTCCCATGCGCAGGGTAGCAAACCGGCTGCCTATAGGCTGGTTAACCTCCCTGCCTTTCTTTCCCCTCTATTTTCCTTCCTTCCTTCCTTCCTGAAAGTTAATGGCATTTATGAGTATATTGCTGAGTCAGCATATAACACAAACATGCCTTGTTTGTTATGGAAAAAACTCTTTAGTTTACCGCTGTTTGCCCACAATAGCGGGCACGTTAACCTACAATTTGTCAAAACGACATGAAACTCACGGTACTATGGAATGGTGCCGAATCTGAAGCCCTAATAAGTCGTGCCGCGCTGTGTTTCAGTTGCATTTTGTTTGTATATTTCTGGCAGGATCATTACAAGGTCATTGGAAAGTGGCTGGAAAAGTACGGAGACACCTTTGGGTGAGATCACATTCCCATTATTATAGAGAGTGCCCCTAGTGTCACGCAGCGCATTTTTTTTAAAAGAATGGTGCTATCGCAAACTGAAACTACTGCACAGTTAATCGAGACGCGTGAGAGGCTGCTACTAATTTTTATTTAGTGATGTTAAAATATTAGGTACAACTATAGAGCTGTACTTGCGAATCGGGAATTCATATATATGTCAATGTATGAGGCTGACTTTACGAATCACTCTTCCTAAGACGCAACCTTAACTCGCCCCCCGCCCCCCGAGCACGCTCCTATGATGTCCACGGTATTCGCAAAACTACTATATTATCCAAAAGACATCGATCCACCTCGCAACGCTTGACTCAAAGCGAAAAATGCGGTACATGGTTTTACTCACTGACCGCTTCGCATGAAGTCAATTCTAATAACTTGTGCAGAGTTTGTCGTGCTTTTTTTTGTATTTCGATCACACTCCTCGTTATTTTCTATAACACTCCTTTAGAAGCAGATTCTTGTAGCACATTCATTGTTGTTTGGGCGCTCGAATTTCACGCATTTTTCTCTGTTTCGTAGACTAGGAATGCGAAAATTTTCTTTGTTCCCACAAAATTTGTTTTAAGAATTTTTCTGATTATTTTGAGCATCTCTTTCCAATCGCTTCTGATCTGGACAACTTTTGTACATGCACGTTGTTATTGTGATCATCCCTGACCCTCGTGTGTCAGTTTTCTACTCTTATTTGTTCTATGATGCCACCAACGCTACATGCTCTCCACAGGGGCAGCAAGGTAGAGTGAACTAACTAACTAACTAACTAACTAACTAACTAACTAACTAACTAACTAACTAACTAACTAACTAACTAACTAACTAACTAACTAACTAACTAACTAACTAACTAACTAACTAACTAACTAACTGACTGACTAACTAACTAACTAACTAACTAACTAACTAACTAACTAAATAAGGCTTTCTTTTCTAACTAGCCAACACAGTTCAAGAGCCTCGGTTTAGACACCTGCTGTGGCACGAATTTACTCTTTTTCTTCATCTTATCATCCTGAGAGTAGGACCTATATCAAGCACTACACATTCTCTATTCACTTGTCCGACTAATCTACTGTACTCTAAGAGCATCACGCGGAGAAGTATAATGACTATCATCTTATCATAAAAAGGGTGTCACAGTTTTATTTTCGCTGATGCAGTGCATCATGGAGATTTCATCCCGAATAAAAATTTGACTAAAAATGAACTTTGTACAAAGTTTATCGCGCGTGAATTTCCCCATAATTATTTTTGTTCAATATGATCAACACATCTTTATTAATTGCAGATTTTATGATGGAGATGTGCCATTCGTTGTGACGAAAGACTTGGATTTCTTGGAATACATCTTGATTCGCAACTTTCAAAACTTCACGGGTCGAGGGGTAAGTTTTATGTTGTCGAAACACTTCAAAAAGACACAACCATAAATGCAAATGCCGATAAATATAGTTGGTGTGAATAGGAATGATTAGTGGCAAATATAGTGAGGAAGTACTAAAAAATGAAGGCTTCTCAAGATGGTACATATATTTAATCTATCAGTGATCATCTAATGAGCTTTATGTATCGCTTGTGAATTCGAGAACACATATACAATAAACGAGCTGTACATAGCCCATAACACTAAATTCACCGCAATTTTTTTAAAATTATTTTTAGTAGCCTCATTGAGAATATTGGATACAAGATTCAGTAGAAATATGGACTTTCTAATATATAGGTGTCTGTAATGTCTCGTCACATATGCCCAGTACGGTGCTAGTTTTTATCAGCTTCATAAAAACCTCTCAACTCCTTCACAAGAAAGTGAAAAATTCTATAGAAACGGGTGAACTTTAGAAAAAGTGCTATTTCTACCTATATGTTCTACTTAGCAATTTTGTGTTGCAGATTTATGCTTATGTGTGCGATTTGTACACGAAATAAAAGAAAGCAATTGGTGATGATTACAGGGTAAATTTAGAGTGTCTAAAAAAGAAAGGGAAACATTAGTATGCATTATAATGCCTGGTGTCAAAACGAGAGAGAGAGGGAAAATAAGGAGAGAGGTGGGGAAGGTTAACCAGGGCTGAGTGCAGTAGGCTACCTTACACTGAGGAAGGAGGGAGGTGGAAGGAAAGGTACAGAGGACGAGAGAAAAGTCATTGACTGAGCCGATCGATGTGTAACGATTTCAATTTTCGCATCACAAACGACGATACAGACCAGGTGTCCTTGAGAAAACGCAACAGCGCTTCCATTGCCTTTCGGAGCTTGGATGGGCAGCGCCATGATCCCAATACCTTCTCGACAGTGAAAGCACTTCCATCCAGTCGATTTAGAACAGTGTGGAGGTGAAGCCTCGCATTTTCGTATGTCTGGCATTAACACAAAGTGTTCGATAGTCTGATCTACGGCATCAGTACCACAACCGAAAATATGTAGGGCTGTGGTAGGTGCTATACGAATCACATTTACTCGCAGGAAACGTTGGTGGTGGAAAGCAGGCATCCATTCTTGAAGAAAACCTATTATTTACGTCGAAGGTGCCAAGTGGAGAAGTCTACGGCGAGCCATATCTACCAGTTTTACCACCGCTAAACTTAAGCAGGTAAGGCGAAGTTTACACAAAAGATGTTGCTGACTGTGTTGACGTCCAAGCCACTCCATATCCCTCCGAAGCAGAGTGATACTCATTACTCAAAGTTAATGGTCCCAGAAACGCTTATAAGCTGGCAAGGAGAGGTGTTTAACTCATTTTCCAGGTGCTGAGGCTGTATAAAGGCTGCAAGAATACGTGTTCGTCTGAATACTAAGAGATGGCACGAGAGAAAGACATCGAAAAATTGTTTTTATTGGTGGGCGCTTGTCAGTGTTTTGTACGTACACACAAGTGCACCTTCAACTCGAAATAAGCAGGAATTTTTCAGTGTTCACAAGTTTACTTGACTGCGAAGCTTATTGGTATATGCGAACCCCTTATACCCATTGGCGTTGTAGTCAACAGTGCCTGTTTTCTTGTACAAAACCGTAGAATGAGTGTTCATCCTTGCCTGATGGTGTGCTAGCCTTCATCTTTGATTAAAAGAAACGCAGTAAGTTTGCCTAAGAGGAAAAACGCTGGCAAGCAAAGCTATATAGTCGATGTTGAGGGGTTTAGGATCACGCCGGTCGCAGAGATGTGGTAAATAATTCTTACAAGGTTTTCCTGTAGTAAAAATTGGACTTGCTGGGTTCTAACTTGATTTTGCTCAATATTAAATCATTTTCGTTACTCCAAGCTTTGTGTGACTTAACGGGAACTTCTCAAAACTTTTAACTGCTTATTCCTCTTTATTTCTTATTCTATCGTCCTCTTCTCACTTTCTTTGTCTCACTGTTTCTTTATTTCTCGTTTGCTAGCTTTCTTCCCATTTTTTTCCTGTCTGTATTTCTTTCTCTCTCTTCCTCTCTTTCTCAATATTTATACGCTAAGTTTTACTATTTCTCCTCATTTCCCTCCTCCTCATCCGCACTTCTCTCTGCTATCCGCTACTTTACAATGCTGTGCAAGGCTATGATGCGCTGTCAGCGTGCTTGGATAACACAGACGCTTGCCTTCGGATTGTGGGTACGCGGGTTCGAGTCCCACCGCCTCATGAACAATATTTTGCAACAAAAATTTTCTACCTTTTCTTTCTTCCTACCTTTTTCGTTTTTCTCTCGCTTTCTGTCACCCCCTTCAATGTGACACTCCTTTCCCGTCCAGTATCTGCGATACATACCCAATCATGGTGTTAATAGTTTTTTTTTCATAGCTTTTGGGTCACGACATCACTTCAAGCTTGTAATGGCTTCGTCGTAAAAGCGGCCTGTTCTTAAAAGATGATGGCAGACCTGAAGAACGGCGCGGATATATTCCTAAACATCGTGGGAGAGCGAGCTGACAGCGGCCGTGAAGCGAATGCTCTCGAGATCTCCAGAGGCTCACCCTGGACTACGTTGGTCGTGGAGCGTTCGGCGTCGACGGCAGCTTTCAGATAGGACCCGAAAACTCTCTGGCCGCTTCCGCAAGGGCTGTGATTAGTGGAGTAATGAAAGGACCTTTACACTTCCTTTGCCGTGAGTACCCGAGTTTCGTCTTGTAGAATCAGCCCAACTGTCTGTGCTAAAGCATGTTATGGGTAGTACCAGTCCTGCTAAAGCATGTCTTTAAGTTTAGATCAAAGAACTTTCTTAAGTGACCTAGCCAGTGGTTGAGAAGAGCCTGGACTCCTTGTAGGATTCGACTAAGGGTCACTGGCCCTTGGTGGCTGCCTCTTTTTTGGGGCTGCGCCACAGCTATTATGGATTATACTTGTGCATTCCCATAGGGTACGAACTAGTGTGGCTCTGAACACGTAATGCGTGCACTTGTCTGTTAGGTGTAAATATTGGTGCGCCAGGTTCATAAGAGCTGTCCTAGGTTGAGATCAGTCTTGTCACTACCCCCATTAGACAGTCTGCCAAGTTTTTAATAATACTTCTCAGGTGGCGGAAATATACGCCTTGGATGGTATTACAGAAGTTTGATGTTTCTTACTCCGCTACAGAAAGTACATCTACACTGGGTGTCCTCGCAACACCCTTGTACTGGATCAACATGATCTTTAGCGGCTACGTGACAGTGAAGTTGACCAAAGAGACGGCGAGAATTATCGACCTCAGAAAACAGAACCCAGAGGTGAGTCTCGCTAAACACACGGCAGCTTATCTCGCCCTTTTCGTCAACATGTGCGCCTGTACACTCGCGATAAAGGACAAATGCTGATTTCTGTGGCATTGTGCCGTATAGATAAAGGAAAATGTTGACTAGCAATAACGGCAACGTTAGGTCTGTTTCCGGTTGGTCGAAGAATTAACGCAGAATTGTCACGGGAAGACTCACGATACGATCACACGTAATAATTGAGGTCAACAGAGTGTTAAGCTTAAATATATAATTACGACAGCTATCATTAAGCATGTAGGGATTGTAATAACAGAAATTAGTAAAAACGCGTCGCCGTCGTGGCAAATGAGTTGATTATACCTTTTGCAGTTTACATGAGGCTGTATGTTCGATTTCTTCCTGTAACAACCGCATTAGTATCGAAGAAGATTGCAAAAAAAACTAGTTATTTTAGAGGCATTTTTTCAAATAAGAACTCTCAAGTAATAAAATTAATTAACTCGGCACTCAACCCTACACTCTAACAACAGTCATGTTTGTGTGACTATGAGATTATTAATCGTGCTGTGTGCTTTGTTGCGAAAACGTTCTGACGTTAAAACATTTGTTCATTCTGGAGCACCGAATCAATCACTGGCCTTCAAGCTTGTAGTCGCGCCCATGCCTTCTCGTGCTGAACATAACATATGTAGTCACCAGTCTGCTTTTATTAGAAGCCCTATACTCAAGTTACCTCTTCACTGGCTGCCTGTTCCCAGAAGAGGTTGATCTGCAGTACTTGTATGGCGCTATAGTCACGACAATATAGTGTCATTGCAGACTTTTATTCCCTCTCACTTTTTAAACATCTTGTCACTTCCAAAGTACAAGGTAGCGAACCAGAAAATTGTATTTAGCCGACCATACATTTCTTTATCTCTTTTTTATGTCACCATATTGTAGTTTATTGAAACAAATAACCTAATTTGTCATGGATGCACAGCACAACCCATTTGATTCCTCTTATTAGTTCAGAAAGCCTGACGTTCTTCAAAACCTCCTCGATGCTGAATATCAAGAAGAGAGCCCGCAGACTGACAATGACACTTTAATGAGTGGTAAAGGAGCAGGTAAGAGCATCACCATCTTGAATCAAGTAAGACTGTGTCTCCGGCAGTGGTTTTCTCACACACTATATCTGAGCTGTTCTTAAAATGTCGTAGAAAAGACGACACAGACTGTTCTCTTGATCGCGAGAAAAAAAATGGCCGAGACTAAAGTAGACTACGTAGCTATATCACAAAGAACAACCAGGAAAATATATATATGCACTTTGTTAGCTAAGCCGTTTGTCACAACTTCAAGCAAAGGGACAACGCAAGGAGAGATCAAGTGTACACATGTGGCGCGCATGTGTAAAGTTGGCTGTACCCACCGTTACACAATTTGACATCTGTCCTACATTAGAATAAGGTGTTTGTTGCCAAACTCCACAGCATGACAAGATCACCTATTTTTAACAAAAGTTTCATGAAAAGAATTCATTTACTGTCAGGCCTAGAAGCTTTAGAGAAGCGTTAACCCACTAACTAAGCCTCATATAAAAATACGATTTAAAAGTTCGCCTAGCGTCTTTTTTAATATTTTGTCCCTCCCTATGTCCCGACTTCTCTTGTTTGCCTCTTTTCAGAAAAAGCTATCAAGAGCCGTGTGCTAACCAAAGACGAGGTTCTTCTGAGCGCTTCTGTACTCTTCGTTGCCGGGTAAGTAATCACACATTTTTATCTTGTAATATAAGACGAAGCTCACTTAACAACCAACATTATTAGTTTTCAAACAAGTGCTTTCGTAATAATAGTGCTACCTGTAGGCTGCCACAAACCATAGTGCGAATGCGCGTGTGCGCCCGACGAGGAAGATGAGGCTCGCTGGCTGCTCGAGCTCGGAGCCAGACTGGCCAGTGCTGCAACCGCTCTTGCAAATATATTTTTCGAATATATTCGCAATACTTTGTCTCGTTACTCACGTAACATATTTGGTGGAGGTGGAACGATCCCCGTCCTCACCACGCAGCTCCGCAGTGGCCGCATCCTCCAGCTTTCCGCCATGGCTTCCAGTGACAACGCGTCCGCTTCATCATCTGCGGCTTCTCCGACAACCTTTGTCGCCGTCCAAACACCACGTGATCCCGGGACATTTTCTGCGCAACCTGGCCTCGACGTCGACAAATGGCTTCGCCTTTATGAACGGGTCAGTCAAACTCACCGTTGGGACCCTACCATGATGCTCGCTAATGTTCTCTTCTACTTGGACGGAACCCCGCGTGTCTGGTACGAGACAAATGAGTCCGAACTCACCAGCTGGGACACGTTCAAGGAGAAGCTACGTGACATCTTTGGGGACCCGACCGGTCGCCACGCAGCTGCACGACAGGAGCTGGCTACCCGTGTCCAGTCGCCAACTGAATCGTATGTGTCATACATCCAAGAAGTTCTCGCTCTTTGCCGAAAAGTGGACGAGGCGATGTCTGAGGCTGAAAAGGTTGGACACGTTTTGAAGGGGATCGCGGACGACGCCTTCAATTTGCTGGTGTACACTAACGTCTCGACCATCGACCGTGTAATTCAAGAATGCCGCCGTTTCGAAACAGCAAAAAGCCGTCGGGTGCGCCCTCCTTTTTCTCGGTTGCCAAACACGGCGGCTACGTCCACCTGCTCCGATTCTACCGTCACACCGCCCTTTGAGCAGAGTGTAACGCGTATCGTTCGACGGGAACTTGAAGCAGCAAGTCCAGCGCCGCTTCAGCCCACTTCTTTCGAACATACGATACCGACAACCCCCGCGATCTCCGTTATTCAGGCGGTCGTACGACAAGAATTCGCCAACCGCGGGTTCCCTGATGCTTGCCCCATCTCTTGCCCCTCCTCCAGACCAATTCCCACTAATGCACCTCGACGTGACCCATTTGTTGCTCCACGATCTCGCAACCCGGCGGAATGGCGAACTCCTGACGACAAACCGATCTGCTTCCGGTGCCACCGCGTTGGACATGTCTCCCGCTACTGCCGTGCCTCCTGGACGCCGCCACATAGGAGCCAGTTTTTCGCACCTTATAGCCCATATGAAGATCTTCGCCGGTATTCGTCCAGCCGTACCGCCCCTGCTTTCGACACGTCTAACAGCCGCCTTCCTGCTCGTTCTCCGTCCCCTCAACGCCGTCGTTCCCCGTCGCCCCAGCCACGCCGCCATCACTCGCCGCCTAACTTTTCATCGTACCCGACGGAAAACTAGACAGTGCAGCCCCTGGAGGTAGTGCTGCATCATCCCTGTCTGAACCAAACCCTCCATTGACGCTTCATACGAACAAAAATCTTGTCGATGTACACGTGGACGGTATTTCTCTGTCGGCACTAGTCGATACTGGCGCTCATGTGTCCATAATCAGCGTTCATCTTTGTCGCCGCTTAAGAAAAGTACTCACGCCCCCTGCTACCGAAGCTGTACGTGTGGCCGATGGCGGCACTGTTCCTGTCATTGGCATGTGTACGGCTCGCATACGCATCGCCGACCGTTACATCCCTGTTCTATTCACGGTGCTCCAGAACTGTCCTCATGACCTCATCTTAGGGATGGACTTCCTGTCGACCCATTCTGCTCTCATCGACTGTTCCGCTGGTACTCTTTGCTTAGACCTTCCTCTTCAGCCGGATATTCACCCTGAACCTCAACACGGCCTTTCTGCCACAGACTTCCTCCGCTTACCGCCTAAAGCCCTCACATTCACCGAATTTGCCACGACCTCACCCGTATTGGATGGGAATTACATCGTCACGCCGATTCCTGATGTCCTACTGGCACGTGACGTCACCGTCCCTCACTGCATCGTAACTGTAGCCTCCAACCGGACCCGTCTACCCGTCATAAATTTCGGCTTCACAAAGCAAGTCCTCCCTGAAGGCATCCTAATTGCCACGTTGCGGTCCTTAGCCGATGATCACGTCACCACTTTCGCAGCCGACGCATGCCCCAATTTTCCTTGTCGCCCACTCGATGCCACATGCCTCGACATGTCAATACGTCCCATGATCGACCCTGACCTTCCCCCAGCGCAATCAGCCGCTCTCGCACGCCTTCTAGCTTCCTACCGTGACATCTTCGACCTTGACGACCGCCCACTCGGCCAAACTTCTCTTGTAAAGCACCGCATCAACACCGGTGATGCTGCTCCCATTCACCGTCGACCGTATCGCGTGTCCGCGTCGGAGCGCCAGATTATTCAAGCTGAAGTGAATAAGATGTTAACTAAAGGCATTATTGAGCCCTCATCAAGCCCATGGGCGTCACCCGTCGTCCTGGTTAAAAAGAAGGACAACACATGGCGTTTTTGCATCGATTACCGGCATCTAAATCGAATCACCAAAAAGGACGTGTATCCTTTACCACGTATTGATGACGCCCTCGATTGTCTCCACGGCGCACGCTACTTTTCATCCATCGACCTTCGTTCTGGTTATTGGCAGATTGCCGTAGACGAGAAAGACCAAGAAAAGACCGCCTTCATCACTCCAGATGGCCTATACCAATTCAAGGTTATGCCCTTCGGTCTATGCAATGCCCCCGCCACGTTCGAACGTATGATGGACTCTCTGCTACACGGGTTCAAATGGTCAACATGCCTGTGTTACCTAGACGACGTCCTCGTATTTGCACCTACGTTTGAGACCCACCTTGAGCGTCTGTCGGCCATTCTCGACGTCTTCCGCAAAGCTGGCCTCCAGTTGAACTCCTCGAAGTGTCACTTCGGCCGCCGACAGATTACCGTGCTGGGCCACCTTGTCGATGCTTCTGGTGTGAGACCGGACCCTGAGAAAATTCGTGCCGTCACGAGTTTCCCAGTACCCCAATCCGCCAAAGATGTCCGGAGCTTTGTGGGACTTTGCTCCTACTTTAGGCGGTTCGTGAAAGATTTTGCGGCAATCGCCCAACCACTTACCGATCTTTTGAAGAAAGGCGTTCCATTTTCGTGGGGGTCCACTCAAGCTGCCGCCTTCTCTCACCTCATAACACTTTTGACGACGCCCCCTATCCTCGCCCACTTTGACCCATCTGCCCGAACTGAGGTCCGAACTGATGCCAGTGGTCACGGTATCGGAGCCGTTCTCGCCCAATGCCAACAGGGACACGACCGCGTTATCGCGTATGCTAGCCGCCTCCTTACACCTGCAGAGCGTAACTATTCGATCACGGAGCGAGAATGCCTTGCTCTTGTCTGGGCGGTCTCAAAATTCCGTCCATATTTATATGGCACCCACTTTTCCGTCGTCACCGACCACCACGCGCTCTGCTGGCTTTCATCCTTAAGAGATCCTACAGGTCGACTTGGTCGCTGGGCTCTGCGACTGCAAGAATACACCTTTTCTGTGATATACAAGTCTGGACGCCTGCACCAGGACGCCGATTGCCTTTCTCGCTATCCAGTTGACCCATCGGCCACCATACCTGACAACGACGCCTGCGTGTGCTCCGTTTCTCAACTGAACCACATAGCCGACGAGCAACGCCGTGATGCAGCCCTACGAGCTATCATTGAGCGCCTCGACTCCTCCCCATCGAACCGATCCTATCGCTCGTTCGTACTCCAGAATGGCACATTATACCGGCATAACTTCCATCCAGACGGCCCATCTCTGCTGCTTGCCATACCCAAACACCTCCGCTTGGCTGTACTCCACGAACTTCATGACGTTCCTACTGCCGGTCACCTGGGTGTGTCCCGCACATACGACCGGATTCGCCGTCGCTTCTATTGGCCAGGTCTGGCACGGTCCGTCAGAAGATACGTCGCGGCGTGTGAGGAATGTCAGCGCCGCAAAACACCATCGACGCTTCCGGCTGGGCGCCTTCAACCACTCGATATTTCTACGGAACCTTTCTTTCGCGTCGGCTTGGACTTACTCGGCCCTTTTCCTCTGTCTTCTGCTGGCAACAGGTGGATAGCTGTGGCCACAGACTACGCCACACGCTACGCAATCACACGCGCCCTTCCAACAAGTTGCGCCACTGACGTCGCCGATTTTCTTCTACACGACGTGATCTTGCAACATGGTGCTCCACGCCAGCTGCTCACGGACCGAGGCCGCACATTTCTATCGAAAGTCATAGCGGACATCCTACGCTCTTGTGCAACACGCCACAAGCTCACTACGTCGTACCATCCGCAAACAAATGGCCTCACAGAACGCCTGAACCGAACCCTAACTGACATGCTTGCAAAGTACGTTTCCTCAGATCACTCTGACTGGGACATCGCTTTACCATACGTGACATTTGCCTACAATTCTTCGCGCCACGACACGGCTGGTTACTCCCCTTTTTTCTTGCTGTTCGGCCGCGAACCCACATTACCCCTCGATACGACGATTCCGTTACCAGCAGCTCCAACTTCACAATATGCTCTGGACGCCATCAGCCGGGCCGCCCACGCACGCGAAACCGCTCGTGCTCGCCTTCTGACCTCCCAAGCAAACCAACGGCGTCGGTACGACCAACGACACCGCGATGTGCACTTTTCGCCCGGTTCGTTGGTTCTGCTGTGGTCTCCGACCAGGCACGTTGGCCTGTCTGACAAGCTGCTCTCTCGGTACACAGGGCCCTACAGAGTGCTTCGTGAGGTGACTCCCGTCACTTATGAAATCACTCCTGCTGCCTCGCCGTCTTCATCCACCCCTAGGGCCACCGACATCGTACACATCGCACGCCTGAAGCAGTACCACTCGCCCAATGATCTTGACATCTAGATGCGCCGAGACGGCGCCTTTGCCGACGGGGGTTATGCTACCTGTAGGCTGCCACAAACCATAGTGCGAATGCGCGTGTGCGCCCGACGAGGAAGATGAGGCTCGCTGGCTGCTCGAGCTCGGAGCCAGACTGGCCAGTGCTGCAACCGCTCTTGCAAATATATTTTTCGAATATATTCGCAATACTTTGTCTCGTTACTCACGTAACAATAGAAAGAAACACCGCTCCCTAAACATCTTAACAATCACTTCACTTCAGCTCAATCTAAGGGTAAGTGAAATCGTGTTCCCTTGAAATAAAAATAAAGCTACATAACTTTTTTTTAATCTGGATGGAAGCCGGCAGATGAAAACAACGTAATGGGATAATCAGGATTAACAGCGGGAGTGCCTCAGACTGGCTGGCGGACATTTCGATAGAAGGACCCATCTTTTTCAAAGGCACCGTGTCAACCTTAGCGTGTTAGTTTTAAAGGATTAGTGGTGATTTTTTTTTACTAAGCCCGCTGCATGCCCCGCCCTGAGCACATGATATATGTATTCACGTCAACGTAAAATAGCACTCTAATATAATTGACTTGTTGTTCTCATTATCCCATAAACGCCGGGTTCCTGTTTTAAAAAGTAGCACAACACTGGTGCTATTTTTAAGAACACTCTCATGCCATAGTGACTCTGAATGCAATCATTGGCGAAGATGGCAAGTCAAGACAAAAGTGGTTAGGAACGAAGTAATTTCTTAGCTCAGACCAGTTATACCTCCGGCCTGCTTGTATCGACTATTCACAGGTATGACACAACGTCAACGTCTTTAAGTTACGTGACATACCTCCTGGCGAAGCACCAAGACGTTCAGGACCGAGTCCGGAAAGAATTCAACGAAGCCATTTCCGGCCCGGTGAGCATGCACAGCGACCTCCCTTCCATAATCATACAGTAGCAATCTTTCCAGTTAAACAGATAGCTAGAATGATCCGTCGCATCACTTATCATAAAAAAGGCATGAAAGAAAAGGATACTCTCCGGCTTGTCCAGGCCTTAGTTTTGAGCAGAGTGACGTATGGCCTACCGTACCACTCACTCGACAGAAGTGAGGAGAGCCAGGTGGATGTGCTCATTAGAAGCGCTTTTAAGGCAGCACTTGGTCTACCCACCAGCACACCGACCGAGCGGCTCCTAGCTCTCGGTATACATAACACTTATGCTGAGCTCAGTGCCGCAGTCCTCATGTCTCAGAGGAATCGTCTAAGTGAAACTTCAGCAGGCAGGGCGATACTCACTAGAATAGGAATTTCGCCCCACCCACAGCACATTGATGAGGAGCTGGTCGACGTAGCCCAAGAGGTCCGCAGGCGAATCTCAATCGCACCGGTGCCCAAAAATATGCATCACGACTTTCACGCTGAGCGACGTACTGCGAGGGTAAACTGGCTTCGAAAGCAATTCGGCTCAGCTTCAAATGTCGCGTACGTCGATGCGGCCAGTTTCGATTGGCAGAGACACATAATTACTGTTGTCGACAACAACATGACGCTGCTAACGAGTGCCTCCGTACGCACGACCTCGGCTACAAAGGCGGAGACGATGGCCATAGCCTTAGCCTTAAGGTTTCAGGAGCGTAGAGGGGAGCCATCAGTTATTTTATCCGACTCCCAGGAAGCCTGCCGGCTCTTTTTAAGGGGCCGCCTTCCAGCAATGGGGCTGAGGCTGCTAGGATCCAAACTCACTCACCACCATCGCTTGATCTGGTGCCCGGGACACGCAGGTCTCGAAGGCAATGAAAGGGCGGACGCTCTAGCTCGTGCGTTTTGTAACCGAGCGGAGAATCCATCTCTTTCATTGACCATGCCAATTTTACCTAGGGAGATTCTAGCTCACCAGCGCTTCACGCGTCAAAAATGTGGAACACCTCACAGATCCCTTAATGGGGAAGAGGCCACTGACCTTAGAAAAATTCAAACGGATGTATTTCCGCACCTACTGAAGTTACACGCGATACATCCAACTCTTTACCCGGCTGTATGTCCGTGGTGCGGCGGAAGACCGACTCTCTACCACATATCGTGGGGGTGCGATCGTAAACCAAGCGACATAACCAATTTTCTCGGCGAACCTTTAACACCTAGTATGGAGCAGTGGGAGGCACACCTCGCTAGCTCGGACCCAGGAGTGCAGCTCGCACTACTGGATCAAGTCCGGCGGGCGGCTAAGGCCAGTGGAGCCCTGGACGTAGGGCCCCAACCATAAAGGCTCTAAAACGCCCCTCTCCCTTTCCCCTTCAATAAAGTTTTACTCTCTCTTTCCAGTATATAATAACTATGCAGTAATATTTGTGTATGCGCGAATTCCAAAAGCACATCACAGTCTGGCCTGTCGAAGCTGAATGGTTTACCTGACTCGGCTATGCAGATTTGGCAATAACTTCAACATCGCAATTATGGTAGTTGTTCTACGGACGAAGCGTGGGGCTTAAATATTTACTATAGATGTTATATAGGCTATCTTAGTTGTGTACTCTTACATCGAAATAAAATGCTATCGAACTGCATAAAATGCTTATACCCATGCAACAGATGAATCATACTAGACATGGAAATTTAGGTAAGAATGTTTGTCGGAGCTTCTTTGAAAGACCCTAAAAAGTGTTAAGGCAGAAAGGGTTTATTTTTTTTTTATTCTATCTGATATGAGACACTGAAGAATTTCTCGCCTGCATATACGAATGTTTGTAATTAACACAACCCTTTATTGAACGATAGCACATCGGTATGTTTGTTGTCTCCGGCAAAATTGTTTCAGAATTTTCTGTTCCCAAAGTTGCGAGAAACCACTGCTTGTTTGTTTGCTTGCAAATTGAATGAACATTCAGTGTTGAAAGCGTATTGATACTCGCACGTGTACGTATATGTTTACAGTGCAAATTAGCATTACATAACAACAAAACGTAGGGACCATGATTAGTGAAAGGCGATATGTACACCATCCTGACTCGCCCACTCATCCAGCTCTGTTTTTCCATTACTCTTTTCTTGTATCTTCCGCCGCATGAATCAGGCGCTATCCGGTGCTCGGCTGCTGTCCCGAAGTCTCGATCTCTGTCGAGGCGGTCCCATTTGAAAACAGGCGAAGTGGTTAAGGCCCGTCTAGTGTGCTATATGTCAGTGCACATTAACCAACAGCACGTGATCAAAATTTGTTTGTTTCAACATTCCTGCGCCCAACTTCTATCTTTCAAAATAACATACTTACTTAAATTTAAGACGACAATGTGTAACAATTGATGGTACGTGCTCTCCAGCAGAGACAGTTATATCCGGTATACCTCAAGGTTCGGTGCTTGGGCCACTTTTCTTTCTTGTGTTCATTAATGACATAGTACAGGATATACCAGTAAAAATTAGACTATTCGCAGATGACTGCATCCTCTATCATGAAGTTCAAAGCCGCTGCGACCAAGTTCTTTTGAATTCTTCTTTAGCGAAAATACAAACTTGGTGTTCAACGTGGCAAATGAGTGTTAACAAGGCTAAAACGGTAGCCATGTCAATAACGCGTAAACAGCATCCCCTAAGCTTTCCATATTCCATAGATAATCACACTCTTTCCGTTGTAGAAAGGTACAAATATTTAGGCGTAATTATTACCTCGGACCTTAGATGGAATGAACATATTTCGTATATTACAAATAAAGCCATGCGTAAACTTGGATACCTTCGAAGGTCATTGCGAAAATCAACCAAGGAAATAAAGTTACTGGCTTACAAAACTTTCATTAGGCCCTCCCTCGAATATGCGTCAGTTATATGGGATCCGTACACAAAAAACAACATTGATAAACTAGAACTCGTTCAAAGGAAGGGCATCAGGTTTGTTCATAATTGCTATCGCTGGCAAGTATCTGTAACTTCAATCTTGGAAGAATCAGAGCTGGATACATTGCAAAAGAGACGTCAGCTTGAACGGCTCAAGTTTTTGTACTCCCTTTATCATGATAAGCTGGCAATAGACAAGAGTAATTTTATCGACCTGGTTGGTAAGCGCTCGACGCGATCACACCACACGAAAAAGATAAAGGATTTTAGCTGTAAAACAGACACATTCAAAAACTCCTTTTTTCCGAGAACAACGCGTGAATGGAATCGACTTCCATCCAATGTAATTGATTGTACTACACTAAATTCTTTTGCTAAAGCATTGTCAGATTATCTGTAATTTTTTCGGTATCTTGGTCGTCACTCCGCTTTCCTAGTATTGCGACTTCTGCAAACTGATATGTGATTGTGAAACAATAATGTTGTTCTGATGTTTTTTTTTCTTTTTTTGTTGTTGATGTTGCGTGTGTCACATTGTAGCTCTGTTTTGTTTAGCGGTGCACCTCGGTCCAGATTTATCCTGCTCTTTCCAGTCATGTCTTGTATATTATTAATAGTTTTTATCAGTGTAGGTCTGGCTTGGTACCAAACAAGTTGTTAAAAGTACCTGCTGTCACTTTGTTGATTGCGTAATTGTATATTTTTTGTTTTTATTTTGTTCCCGCTCATTGTTGCGGTTGTTTTGTGGACGTATTTGCGTATGTTCTCGCATTCTTTTATTTGTTCTGCCCGCTCCTGCCAAAGGCCTTTTTTAAAGGCTGGCAGTAAATCTGAAAATAAATAAATAAATAAACATTTCTGGAGCACTCCCCTACGGCGTCTTTCATAATCATATCCCGGTTTCGGGACGTAAAATCTCAGATATTATATTTTCTTTCATTGGTCAGTTGCCCCCCCCCCCCCTTGCACCTATACGCCGTGTGTTCGTTGCTTAGAAATCATGCGCCTACAACGCAGGGGCAGTTGACATCGCACATTTAAAAAGGACAGCGGGTAATTAAAGATTATGAATTGTTCAAGCTTCTCTCTGCAGATGCCTTTTTGTATTATTTACTTTATTTAATTACCCTCTTCCGCACATGCTTTTAGTGGCGCGTATTAGTCGGGGGTGTTTGCGTTACACAGGATGATTTCGACTATGAAACGATTACAAGGAAGTTGCCATACCTAACTCAAGTTGTCAGCGAGGCTCTCCGCTTGTACCCACCAGTCCTCACGTAAGTATGTCTTGAACATTATAAGCATCTAGAGAAGTTGTGATATCGCTTTGGTCCCGGGCATCATGCATATTAGGCACTCGATTGGCCACAACTTGCTGCCTGATTATTTGTAACTGCAATGCAAACGTCAACATCTAAACCTGTAGGATGTAAATTTTACCTGATTTAGTTTCCCACAAACTATATAATTATAGAGGTAATTCATTCATGTATATCATACGACAAAAATGAATAGGTCTTGTACGCTAATAATTAAAACAGCTAATGTACTTTTGTTTCCGTTGCAACTCCATTACCTAAATATTCAATACAGGCTTATTTCGACTACCTTGTGTCCTATTCAAACCATATATTTACCCCAATTTCACTGTCTACCAGAATTGTATGTAGTTCCTCACTATGCGCCAACAGCGTTCTCATCACAATGTATAGGAAAAAGCGCGGCCCCCGAACGAGCCCTGAATTCTCTATTGGCTCTTCTAGTACCAAGCAAAAGAAAGAACACCAAAGTCACTATCTACAACCCAGCTACATACTTATCTATTGCCAGTTTTGGCATTATTGCGTCCTTTAGAGTGTGTTATTCCTTCAAAAGAAAACGAGGTTAACAGAGAAAGATACTCGGAAGATGCTTCGTGAATGCGGACCCTACAGGGATGCGCGCTGTCGGCGAACTACCATAACCTGACCGACAAGCCCAGCCGTATGCACACACGTGCCATTGTACTTCCACCGTCATATAAAACGCGAACAGCGACAAACCTAAGCAGGGGTATGGTGCTCACAGTATACAGTCATTAGTCACCATAAACATGCGCAGGGCTGCCAAAATGGAGCGCTGTGTGCCTGTCACTGGCGATGACTTTTAGAAGACGCTGAGCTTGATAGTCGTCCCAGCGTGGTCACTGGGGCTCGCGTATATTCTGTACTCAACACCGCTGTTCAAGAAGCGAGTGCAGTCAGGTTAGAATCGGGGATTACATTCCCCAAGCGTTGTCTCGCGAAGACGTGCCACGCACCGAGTTTCGCAAACCCTTGGAATCTGTTATCTGGTGAAAACTGTCACAGCAAAGATCATGAACTAATATGCGTGCAGGTACACGTCATAAAGTCTGCTATAAGTCAACGTGATCCGCGTTTCTCGCACTTACCTCTTTTAGGAATTGACAGATGGTTACATACGTTTACGTCGACTTCATGATTTCGATTACGCAGGTTTGTAACGCGTAAGGCTGTCGAAGACTTCGAGTTCAACGGCGTTCATTACAAGGCAGGAACAAGTTTCTTGTCTCCGACGCTGCAAATCCACAGAGACTCACGATACTGGCCTGACCCACTAACCTTCAATCCGGACAGGTAAGGGGTGCATAAACATATCTTGATCAAATCCAATGGACAATTCGCAATATGGAATTCGCATCTTCTTAGAGTGAACCTGCACTTGATAAATTAGGCTGACAGCTTAGTTGAGCTCAACCTTAAGACGTTCAAATTTCGGTCACCTCGCTGAAACAAGATAGAAGACGCGATAACGCCCTCTAATACAGAGTACCTACAAAGTCACTGCACACCTCTTTACGTATTTCTTTACAGTACCTACACAATTGTTATCTTATATTCTGAAAAATTTATCTATGGTTCTTCTTCTCTCTGATATTAGACTATAAAAACTTTTCCGCACAATAAAAAATTCGTTGTAAAACTTCCAATGGGCTGTGGGAAACAGCTTTGGACAACTGCAACCACAACGTAGCTGGGACTGGCCCCGGGGGCCGAGCACGTCTCCTGAGCTCAAAGTGCCTTGGACTAAGGATTATTCTCCCTCAGTTTATCATAGTACATTGCATTGGTAGCCGGAGAAATAGAGAAAAAACAAAGTTGAGTGGTAGAGCAACTCCATAAGAAAAAAAAAAATTAACCGTGTATATGCGTGCTTCACTGCAAATGTAATCGAAAAACGATAGTCTTCTGTCTGGAAGGGCGCGTGAGATATTGACGCCATCTGGCTGCAGTAATGTCGGAAAATAAAAACTTGTGTAGAACGCGAAGCCATTGGCAGGTGACAGCATCGTATCGTTTTAGCGAAGCGCAAGAAACACCCGCTTTTTCGTGAATTGCATAACATTGTCAGCGCAACGCAAGGAACACTAGGGTCCTTAGAATCACGTGCCTATGCATTTTTAGTTAAAAAAACACACACAACGTAACGGTTACTTATAAATATGATGCCTCAGATATGCCTAATATTTTATTTTTGATTTACAATGTTCATGAGAACAATGAACGCAGCCACCAAATTGTGATGACTGGGCGCTGAGAATAGGCCAACACTTTCGCTGGTTGGCTGAATCGAGTGACGGGTGACAGATAGACAAACAAACAGACGTACAGACAAAAATTTTCGCATAGGAGTATCCCAAGAAAGACTATTGTCTTTAATAACTTACGCCGTGCTCACTGCCACTATGACATCACGCGTCTTGACCGAGTGAGCACGCTCACGTGAGGCAGGGAAGCCACTGCCACCATGGTTTCCCGTGAAAAAAAAAAAACACGTTCGTCGCAAATTTCACATTGGTAAAATCGTATGCAGTGCTTGGCACTGCCTCGGGACGGTACGTTATCACTGGGATGAGCATCAACGACAATCAACTGAAACTGTCTGATGCCAAGGTTTATACGCTAGCAAGTAAGAAGTACACATGACATTATTTTATAAAAGGAACTAAACGTGTTAGAAGTGATGCTTTTCAAACTCAAAATCAAGGAACATAGACATACATACGCCTTCGAATCACGCAATGAAAGCATATCGATGCCATCCCAATGAATGGCACGCTCCCGTTTCGCTGTTCGGTTACATCCTTTGGGAATGAAAACAGTCGGACCTTCGACGAATCGTCAATATCGCCATATCGGCGACATTTGATCCCGCAGAACTACTCGATCGGCACAGCTTCCAGGAGTACAATACGCGAGCATTGAGGGAACGAAATACATTCCATCAGTTCACGGATGCAGAAAAGTACGTTCTTCATGCAGTCACTAAAAAAAAAAAAACACCAGAACAACACGACAGGCTTCATCAGTCTCAGCATTGTTGCTCTATCAAACGGCGTGAGCATGCATGCGTGCATCCACTCGGCAGGATACCACGGTGAAAGGTGAGTGACGTCAGGGGTGACGTGTCACGTTGAGTAGGCCTGAAGATATTCTAGAGGGTGCTGGGCAGACGGCGAGGTTAACCATATTTGGCTCTTGGCTACTCTATACACGTAGGGGGGGGGAGGAGGGGAGAATGGAAGACAGGAAAGAGACAATAGAACAAGAAAAAGAACGGCAAAAGAGAAAAAAAGGTGGGGAAGAACAGTTTGCGGGAATACACACAACACGAGCTCGCGCGGGCAGTTCACAGATGCTCATTTTTAGATAGAACCTGCATATGAATACAGGCAAGGTCCTGTCCAAAGTAACGCAGTGTTTAAAAACGAAATCGGAAGGGAAATGAGCTCAGTTTAGAATGCGCAGCACTAAGTGAAAAGAAAGAAGATTCAGGAGTGCTGCATACTTTCCTTTTTATATAATTTTTTTTTCAGTCCAAAAATACTTTGTGTTTGAAAAACCATAAGCCTTTTACTTGAGATCCTGCTGCCAGGTTCTTTGCCGATCCCCCTTTGTGGGTGTGCGCCAGAGTATCAAGGATCATCATCATCATCATCATCGTCATCATTATCATCATATTCATCATCATCATCATCATATTCATCATCATCATCATCGTCATCATCATCATATTCATCACAATAATCATCATCATCATCATCAACAAATGGCTTTCGTGGCTGCGCGCCATCATTTCCCACATTTTGCTGTTTTCCTTAATTATCCTTCTTCATTGACAGATTCGCTGCGGAAAATGAAGGCAGCTTCCATAATGTGGCCTATCAAGCCTTCGGAGTGGGACCACGCAATTGCATCGGTATGCGCATGGCCCAAATGGCACTGTATTACACAATCGCGCGACTGGTTCAGCGATTTCAACTCCACGTCGGACCATCTCAGCCAGAGGTAAGTGTACTGCATTGTGTAGCTTTTAACTTCGGAGCTTTTCAATGCTTTCAGACCGAGCTTTTCATAACACTGGAGCTGTTCAAAGCTTTCCTTTTGTGCGTGGCGTTCGCAAAAATCAGGCCATAGGGTTTCATAGCCTACATAATAAAGCCTAATTAAGCCTAGTTGAACAAAGTTGAGGCTAGTTAGGCTCAGCCTAGTCATCAATGCCTAGTGACAGCGAACCAATAACCAATCAATAGCTAACTAATAATTGGTGAATAACCAATAAAATAAAATATTTTGATTAGGTTAGTCTGACCCAAATGCATGACCAATATTTAGAGAATAGATGATTCATCAATAATAAATACACAAAAGAAAATGCTTGCGCGTGCTTGGCCTGACCCCAAAATACATGACCGATGCGCTGTGTTAGCCACTCACTAATTGGATAATGACTCATAATTTACAAAACGCTTGGCCGGGCTTACTCTATAGCCCTATACGTGATGTGTCACGGGGTATGACACGTGATCACATATCATGCACTTGATAAAACCATTGTCATGTTCTCGTATTAAGAACCAAAAGCACTCAGAAATGCCGATCACGTGATTACTTCGTACAGATTTTTAATCAAAAGTTTTAATATTGCAATTCTGTTTTTAAGGAAGAGAGTAATTGTTGATGTTCTTCATTGACGAATATCTTCCTATTTGGTCATACGGAAACGTCACCATTGAAGTCCTGCATTGTCGTGAATTAGGAGCTTCAAAAATTATTTTCTTTTTAAAGCCTAAGCCAGAATGATAGAGGTTTCTATATAAGAAGCATTAGGTATTTTATTTTGACTGAGCTGTAAAGGACTATTTTATTTGAAGCACTATGTGTATAATCCAAAATGCCCCTCAATTTGGACCAAAATGACAATTTTCTGAATTCGGGACATTCACTCCTAAAGTTTGTAAACATGAATGACTAAGAATATATTGAACACAACATGTAACTTCTGTAGACTAAATAATTAGAACTCCGATATTCATTCATACTTCAATTTCATAATAAAAACTGCAAACGTGGAATATCTGGGATAAATATCTGCAGATGTAGTTATGACTGAAAATGTGCAATAATATTATTGTCTCGAAGCACCTACACATACACACTTTTGCTCAATATCAAAACCAGATTTACAGTTGAAGCAAATAGGCTAACAGTGCTCTCAGAATGTTTTTTTCCCTGACAAAAAGCACCCAGGCTAAATTTTCTGAAATTCGCAAAGTCCTTACGAGAACGACAAATTTCTTTACTATCCCAGATGTTCAAGCTATTCGCTGTTTTCAATGCAACACATCAGCGTGATTTTTTTTGTAGTAATTAAGATTGTAGACAAAATGGCTGGATTCTTTCGCACAGAATGGCGCATTGTGGGATGGCTACGTTCGTAATGTGCCAGAAAAGTGTACAATTAGCAAACCTCTTACAGAATTTCGGTGACAATGCGTTCGGAAAAGCTATTTCAGAGTAGGAAGTCGCCTTCGCTAAATTTGTGTCCTACATTACGATTGAATTGTGAATGTAAACACCGTGAGTGTGAGTATGATACTTTGCAGAAGGGTTGTTGGTGGCTACCCGAAATCTTCGATTTCTTGTAGTTGCAGGTCAAAAATTTGACAATAATTTTTCTGTGGGAAAAGAAACTGAAGCCAGTATTGTGTTCTGTTCTTTATCACAATGATTTCAGGAATCTTTCGAGATTGTTTCACGAGCCGTTCTTTCGAAAACCAAGCGTTGGACCATGGATTGTCTTTAGGCGTATCTGAACGGAGGTAATAAGGATTGAGCCTTATCGAACATGTTCTATAGGACGGCCAAGAAGCCCTTGACGAAAACAAGACTCTCATGAAGAGTGGAGGACATGTTCGTCTAGTGTCTCAATATGATCCCGCTGCGAACACCTGCCATGGGCATGCTGAATCTACAATTGCGATACGCCATGTTGCACCGAAATGTCAACGGTGCTCAAGTGGCCACAGAGACCGAGTGATGCCAAAGAGAAAATATACCTTTCATTTATTGTTCCATTCTTAAGTTTACGTTCAAGTTTCTGCAAGGTACAGGACAATGTACCACTGGGATATGAATGTTTCAATTTAAAGTTCTTTTGCCGCCAAAACAATACGTCATAGGAGTCAGCGGTAAAAGCTGCATGATTTTCAGCAGCTTGAAAACGTTTTGGACGCCCACCACAATTGTGATGATATCGAAGTGGCATGAAAGCAAGCAAAAGCCAGGTAAAACCTTCATAATGTAATGTAGTAATACTATAATACAAAATAACGTTAAGTAACGAATGGATGTTGTAATACAACTCAGTACTCTGAGACACTGGCACAAAAGTAGAGACATTTTACGAAGATCATCGCTTACGGTGGTCGAGCTAGAGAAGATACGTTGACCATTAAACTGGAGCTCACTGGCAAGCACACATCCTTTAGTTTGTGCAGCGCCACGCGAGGACGCTGGTCTCGTTCACTGAAAATTTTGTGTAGCGCTCACGAGTAGGAAGACAGATGGACAAGCCGTACAAAACAGTCACTGACTCTCAACTTAAATTTATTTCGCTAATTTGAAAAAAGAAGAAAAAAAGCAACACCAGGCGATAATCATTCACTATACCACATTGGTCACTAGGAATAACATGCTCTACATAAAAAGCAACAATCAAAAACACAAAAACCATTTATAAAGACTAATAAATTTAAGCTGTCTCTTCACATATAATCCAACACCTGTGTATGTGCTCAGCAGGTAGTAGTAGGTAGTTGATGGTTGACTGACACATCTTTCCTATTCTCATCGAATTTGGAAGGCTCCAATGATTTCGCGTGCTAGCTGCCTTTTGTGTTCTGATAGCATAACAATGTCCCTTGAAAACGTAGGGAGGGTCCTTGATATTGGAAGTGAGCTGCCAAATGCGAAGACTTAGTAGCGGGAAAATGAACGCCTGCGTTCGTTAAGCTTGATGTTGGTGCATAATAATCAATCAGTCCTAATGCAGTCCTCTTCCTTCCTACAATTTACCCTCACAAACGTGAGTGCTGCATCAACTAAACACACGAGGAACTTCACATAGCCTTAACCATAGTGTTTTTAGCATAAACCTTAGTACACTTTATCTATTTGCATTCTATTTTATCCATTTGTCCTCTCTCCTATCTGCGAGTTTGTCCTCCTCCTATCTGCCCGAACGCAAGACTATCTTCCACACTTCTTTCTTACACCTTTGTTTCAATCTATCTCTATATGAGGTCTGTATTTGTCCTATGCAATGGTTTCAAGTATTACTATGCATGGACCGCAAAAAACCATGAGGCAGTTGACTGAAGCACTTATGAATAACATTACATCAATAAAGAAATGAATCCCTCATCAAAATGTTTTGTTTTGCGTGGTGGTTAGTAAGGACTTGAAATGATATATTACAATTCAGGATTTAAAACAGAAATACCCACGTGGTCAAGCCTGAGACAAAAGTATAGGAAAAGTGACTGCATACATATAGTCCCGGGGAGTGATAGATACACTTCTTTGTTGGAATATTTCCCCTCTCTCTTCTAACAAACACTGTTTCGTCCCACTGCACTTGCGTCCCACGAGTTGCTTGATAAATACGCATAAGCGTGTCACGAACTAGCCACAATGTCTTAAGTGCTGCTGTGGACAATGTCCTACATTCATAAGTAAGGAATGTTACGGGTAAAGTCCTATAGGTGCATCTATAGGTGTCTGTGTGTTGTCATGGGAAAGCGGCACAGGTGACACGCATTATGTGCTCTCTTGAAGCAAAAAAAAAAAAAAGAGAAAAGAGTGACATGTTGAGATGGATAAACATTGGCAGTACAAAGAATTTGGTGGAAGTATTATTTTGACGAGGGAACTTGCGATAGCTAAATGGATCAACTTATCTTCTATCAGATATTGCCTTGAAGTTAGGGAGGACGCTTATCTTAGTAAATCATCAAACTCGACGGGGCGCGTTTATGCGCACGTGTGTATATTCTCCTCCCCCTCCCTATACCCTTTTTTAGAGGCGGAGGAGGAGGAGAATTAGTTTGTTCGTCCAAGTTTTCACCCTGCTCTGCACATCGGCTTAATCTTTCTCACCTCTCCATTTAAGCAGTGAAAGAGTTGCTTGCCCTGAAAAGCTTCCCTACAGAGACGTTGGCCTCGGCGACGTTCCTTCAGATAACAATAATCACTTTCTCGGCATCAGTATTTTATTCGCTTCGTCTAAGGTCAGGTTTTCATCCGTGCTGCCTTCATATAGTGTTTGCCTAGTTGCTGCCTTGAACACGCTGTCGTGTGGCTTGTGGTGCTATACTTTATGCCTCGTTTTGCACCTGGTTATAACATATCTTACGGAAGGAATAAGGCGCGAACTTCCGTAGAACGTGCACAAACTAGCCGAACGCAAAGTTCTACTTCTCGCGAGATCTCGACGAAGACCGAAGACCTGTACACTCCTTGGCATTACTGTCTGTCAGATCTCATTAATATTGTGTTAAAACACGGAAAAACGAGCCCTTAGGTATACATTTCTTTCTCTTATATATATATATATATACATTCAAGGGGCAGGCCTGATGCAAGCTTCATTTCTTTGACAGAACACCCCGCCGCGGTGGTCTAGTGGCTAAGGTACTCGGCTGCTGACCCGCAGGTCGCGGGTTTGAAGGCCGGCTGCGGCGGCTGCATTTCCGATGGAGGCGGAAATGAAGTAGGCCCGTGTGCTCAGATTTGGGTGCACGTTAAAGAACCCCAGGTGGTCTAAATTTCCGGAGCCCTCCACTACGGCGTCTCTCATAATCATATGGTGGTTTTGGGACGTTAAACCCCACATATCAATCAATAAATCATTTGGACAGAACACGTGGACTTGGCCAGTCATTTTGGGGGAACATAAGATGTTCAAACTCTCCGCAGCCCTCAGTTGCGGCGTCCCTCATAGATATATCGTAGTGAATTATCGTTATCATCTTTCATCTAACCACGTGTATTGGCCTCAGCCACTTTCGTGATTATCTTTCCCATCGCCCTTCATCGATGAAGCCACAAGAACGTGGTAATGTTTGCTACAGATTATCAAACTAAACAAGTCGAGTTTTAAGAATAACCTTGAGCGTTTAGATTACTACCCCGTCAGCACGGTCTGCAACAACGGCTTGCAGAGTTGCAGCGGCGAGTGCCCTTTGTTTTGAAATAAAAAAACACTGCGCATTAAATACTGAGCGATACGGTATCCCGCCATTCCTTAAACGACCTTGACACTATGCAGTCCCGAAATAGCGCTGGAGAGGGCGCTCTCGACCTGAAGCAAGGTCCTTCGCGCTCGCCCTCTCTCACTGTGACCCATAACAACACGGCGTGGTCGTTTATTCCGCCGGCGACGAGCGCGTGGCACGTGCGGAGTTCGCCGCAGAAACAGTTGCCTCGGCTTGACGGCCATCCAAGCCGCGATGCTTCCGTTGGTCGGTGCGCTCGCATTGATCGCCGTTTTCCTGGTCGCGATTTTCAGGTAAGCGTACTGATTTCACATGCTACAGATTCCTACTGCAGTACGTATGTAACATTTAGCGTTAGTTGCCGGCTCGTCAGTTTCCGGACATGAAGGTTTTTTTGCCACTTCCTTGACTGAAATCCCGCACTTTTTACGACACCCAAACAGTTACTAAGTTATTGAATGCTGTCATTTTCCAAATTAACGCTTCATAGGTGCTGAAAATTTTCGCCTGACCTCCTACGTGACTCGATTACGCGTTAGTTGACAGATGCAGTGGCTTTGTCCTTTAAATGAGAGTTTAATCGGGGTAGGATCCATTCATGAACTATATGATAAGGTACTCATGATTGGAGAAGTGCATATTGTAGGAAGGCATCGCGAAGAAGACGTGATCTAATGGATTGGCTTGTGTTTCTGTCGCGTTAAATGCTTAGGAGAAATAAAGCGAACTGAATGCTACACGACTAACAAAGAACGGTTTAGTTACAACGAGCCCGTACTTGCAATGTATAGTTGTAAAGTAACTGTAAAAATGTAGTCCATGTCCCTTTTAACGAAATTTACGTAACATGAAATTTTTTGACTAATTTAACACACCTATGAAAAAAGGATTGGGGCAGATGTTTCCAACAATCAGGCAGGATGACTGTTTGTTTGGAAGACTTGACTGTACAGGCGCTTTATCCTAAATCCTGTGACATTGGATTCAATTGCACGGATATGTATGTACGGATCCTGGTGTGACACAAATATTCTGTGGAGCGTGCAGCCTGGTAAGCCGCGACAACATGAAATGCTTTACAAATAGGTAAAAAAAAATTGGCCCGAATCTACATGTTACACTGTAAATGTCGTTGAAAGACGATAGTCTTGCGTCTGGAGAGAGTGAACAAAACGTTTATTTGATGTTCTGCGCAAGAAAATCGGTGAATGGTATTCTGAAGGCGCTGCTTTAGAGTGCCTCGAGTGTGTAGCGGAGGCGAACAAGCGCATCTAGGCACGTTAGACACGAGTTTCATCTGGCACTTATCTTCAAAAACGAAGGCGTGCGCGACCGCGGAGAAAGATGCGCGCCAGTCTCGGAGGTGATAAGGTGTAGAATGCAAAGCGACGGGCAGGTGCCACCACCGTGTCGTCGTAGCAAAGCGTTGGAAATGCCTTTTTGAGCATCGCATTGCACTGTCAGTGCAGCGCGATAAACGCTACAGTCCTTAGAGTTACTTGTGTGTGCTTCTTCTAGTATAAAGGCAGACATACAAAACATTAACGTATGGTTATGGCGCCTCAGATATGCGCAATATTTGCTTTTTTAATTGGCAATCGCACAACTAGGAGCGCTAAACCTTAAGCAATGTTGGTGGGCGCTGCGGATGGGGTTGGCCGTTTATTGCTGTTTGGAGTATCGTTAGGATGGACAAAAAGACAAATGTACATACAGACAGCCAGACCAAAAGTTTTCCGCCGAAGCTCCCCAAGAAAGACTATCGTCTTTAAAGGTATCAGAATAGCGTTCTTGAATGTAAAGCATACGTCACGGATATATGAAGTGTGTTCCGAAGCTTAACATCACAAATGCTATTTAATGTGATAAACACTCGTCTAGCGGTTATCATACACGACTGATGATTGATTGATATGTGGGGTTTAACGCCCTAAACCCACCATATGATTATGAGTGACGCCATAGTGGAGGACTCCAGAAATTCGGACCACCTGGGGTTCTTTAACGTGCACCCAAATCTGAGCACATGGCCCTACAGCGTTTCCGCCTCCATCGGAAATGCAGCCGCCACAGCCGGGTTTCGATCCCGCGACCTGCGGGTGAGCAGCCGATATACCTTACCCACTAGACCACCTTGGCGGGGCACACTCGACTGCTGATCCGAAGGTTGTGGGACTGTATCCCAGCCACGGCGGCAGCATTTCCGTGCAGGCGAAGTGATATAGATGATCTTCCACTTAAATTTAGGGGCTCCTCAAAGAACGCCAACTGGTCGTCGCAATTTAGAAAGCTCTCCACTAAAGCGTCCCTACAAATATAATGTAGATTTGGCACATAAAACCCCGACATTGCAAATGAGTTCTACGGAAACCCGCAAGGTGGCGGAAGGGTTAAGAAAGAGAATGAAGATGAGCAGGGCCCGTTTTTAGCACGAAGCCACAAGGAAATTCATACAGATTTCTCAAGAAGAAAAATCTATTTGTTGCTGGAAAATCTGGGATGGCTGTCTCCTTTTCCTTTCCAAACCTTATCAGTTATTATTATTGTGGAGCATGGACATTTATTGTAAGTATAGTATCTGGCTTTTAACGTCCTAAAACCCCCGTCTTATTAAGAGAGGCGCCGTAGAGGAGGGCTCCGGCAATTTTGACCCCCTGGCGTTCTTTAACACGCACCCCAATCTGAGCACGCTGGTCAGCAGCATTTCCGCCTCCGTAGAAAATATAGCCGCCACGGGGCATACGTTCCTCGTTGCTAGCGAAGCACGACTAGAAGGAATAGTTGCAAGCGACAAAAACGGACTCACTGGCCATGAGTGACCTTGAAAATTGTGCTGAAAACAACGTATCCTTTTCATATGAGTCAAGACCAGAAAGCCGCACTGACATATTGAGGTTTATGTTCAGAAAACGTGAGCCATTTCTTTTTGTTTTCACCCTCGAACATTAGTTGCAGAATTTGTGAACCAAATGTCCACCTCGGCGATGAAGTTGATAAAGTGCTCGGACGCTGAACCGAAAGTCGCGGATTTTTATCCCTGGCGTGGTGATCGCATTTTGATGGAGGTGAAATGGTACATAGTCCGTCTGTGTAACCTACAATGTCAGTGCATGTTGTAGAACATTAGACGAAGTGGTTGTAGTAGTAGTTGTTGTAGTTGCATTGTTGTAGACCTATTTATCAGATTACCTCCTTAGTATTGAGGAGCAATCAGCCAACCGGTAATGTCAGTGGGTCCAACATTTCAAATCAGTAAACTTGCCTTTGTCAGGGAAACAACTGCTTTTATTTTATGCCTTGGCTACAACGACCCTGCTAAGACACGGAAAGATTCCACAAGAAAGGGGAGCCTGCTCGTGGAAAAGAGGGCTTCAGGGAAATTGCCAGTCGGCCGATTTCCTCTCACCACCATTTTTGTTCTGTTTGGATGTTTGCATTAGGTATCCCAAAAGAAATGTGAATGAATATCCACATTTTTCAGGCTTGCTTACTTAGTTATCCAGCGAAGAAGCAAAAAAGAAAAAGTATTACCTTAAAATCTGACGTAAGGGAATCGAAGATGTCATAGTCATTGGCAGATTCTGAAAGCCACCGATTTTACGAGATGAAAAAATACGGCGAAATGCTTTTTTGTTAACTACGCGATACTGATACAGCTTGTAAATGATCTTATTGCTCACATCTCCAACCGATCGACAGTTTTTTCTTGTTTTGCGAGAAACTTGTGCTGGAATCAATGCAAGGAACACCCGGACAAAGGGTACCAAAGGTAAATTTTTTCGCACATGTGTCGCTCGCGCTGTTTTTTTTTCAATGAAGCCAGACAATTCGCCCAAATTTCGTTTCTACAATACAAAGCTGGCACTTGGTGGGACGCGCGACAATATACCGATGCCGAAACACGCGCCGTTGAGAGTGGTCAAAAGAGAGCTCAGTAGGATACGCCACCGATACCGAGGGGGGCAAAATAACTATAGCAGCTATTCTAGAGTTACATGAGTCCAACTTTTGGCAAGGAAACGTGTCTGTTGCTGTCTAACACATATAACGTACTCCACCACGACATGCATACTGAACGGCATACGGAACATGCTTGAGCTGGACGAAGCCATAACAACACCACCGCTCTTCGGAGCACGTTGGTGCTTTAGCAATAAATCAGCTCACAACATGACCGCATGAGAACATTGCATCTACCTGTACATGAACATATCTACAGACGCTTTGTCACCCCTTTGCGTGGAAAGAAATTAAAGTGCAAGTAAAGGCTTTGCAGAAGGACCTCCTTGTCAATCCTTGTCCTTTCTCTTCCCGCACCTCCTTTTTATTTTTACTACTGTGTTTGCCTCTCCAACTTGGTTTTTTTTTCCAAAGCAACATTCAAATGCAGGGCAACGCTTGATAATACACTGCACTCTATGCTTTTATTGTGCCACGGTAGCTTAGTCAGACAGACTCTTTCGTGGATGCGTCTCTCATAAGAAAAACAAGTGACAGTGACGTGGCACCTGCTGCAGAAGAATTCTAAAATCTACGAGTATCATCTTTCTTTCTTTTTTAATATGAAGAGAAATGAAGGCTGTAATACAATGTCGGCTGATGCTCGCTTAAAGGATATCGAGATATAAAATTTTAAAAGGAAGCTTGTAATGAAACGATTTTCAGGCATTACAAGGGCACCAACACATGAACTTGCGCACTCAGGTAAATGAAAAAAAGTCACAGCTTTGCCGCAAAGGCGAAGCAATGAACGTGATAGCAACAATTTGAAAGGTCACGCGCAGAACGGAAAGCAGATCAAAACGTGCCCCGCGTTTCTCGCGCACAAATTACTCAAGAAACGTACTAACAGGTGCGGATGCACGCGAATGAGCGTCTCAATTGTTACTTTGCTAAGTCTAAAAGGCGTGCACTTTTCGCGAACGGAGACTGCAATAATTGCAGTGACCTTTGTGCGCCCGGTAACTACAGCAGAATCGTTCCACGTAAAGCCCGAGGCCAGCCGAGGCGTACGATCCTCCCCTCCTCGCCACTACGAGACAAGGGCACGTGAGGGAGCACAGCCCCTCCTCCTCTCTAAGCCGTGCAAATTACGTGTAGGATATTTCAGTGGGCGCCACTGCGCTATGTGGCGACCTGCGCTCATTGCGCCATCTTTCTGGTAATGCTGAAAACATATCAGCGGTAAGTGGTAGATATAAATAGCTTGCCGTTTGAATAATGAAGAACGTTTTGCGGGGTGGTTTAGTGGTTAACGCCTCGCTTTCATGACTCAGATGTCCACGTTCAATCCCACGCGCTGGGGTGCTTTCTTTTTCTGGATTATTTTCTTTCTTGCATTTTTATTTATTTAGATACGTATACATATACGGTGCATGACATCGACGTCGGCGGCAAAATCTGGCCTAGATTGTTCCTATAATTGCTATCACAATAAAATTAACGGATAGATGCGAACCCATGCGAATAACGAACCCATGTGAGAAACAGAACCGTCATGGGCCCGCAGAGAGAGAGAGAGAGATAAAGATACAAGGAAAGGCAGGGAGGTTAACCAGACGCACATCCGGTTTGCTACCCTGCACTGGGGAAGGGATAAAGGGGAGAAAAGAGGTTGCACAAAGATGAGAAGGTACACACAATCACGAGCACACTCGGTGAGCACACACAGTTCACAGGCGGTCGCTCAGGTTTGTTGACTTAAGGTAAAGAAGCAGTGCTTTAGTTGCTTTCTGCGCAACTGAGGCAGATGCCCAAGGTCCTAGTATCTTCCGCACACAAAATGGTCCGGGGGCCCGCAGAGATTTCTAGAGAAGCAAAGGAGCCGAAAATAAGTTGTTACACCAAAATTTCACCTATTCTTCAGCTTCGAAATTCAATGTAGCAACACGTGCTACACTGCCCAACGCATGTGACATAGTTATAAAAATATGCTGTGGCAAGTTACTCGATATGTGATAATTATATCTGAAATCTGACGTCCCAAAAGCGCGATATGATTAGGAGTGACGCCGTAGTGGAAGGCACTGAAAATTTTGACCGTTTGTGTTCTGCAACTTGCACTGATATCGCTGCTACGCGGACCTCTGCCGTTTCACGTCCACCAAAATGTGACCGTGGCGACCGGAATCGAACCGGTGACCTTCACGTCAGCAGTCGAGCACTTATTCATTTTAGCCACTGATCCGCCATGGCACACTGCCCGGTATGTAACCCATATATATCAGGCAATGAAAACACCTTTGAACACGTGGCGTCACAGGAACTTATTAATGTTTCTACTAGTGGTTTTGCCTCCTTCGAAGTAGTCGTCTGGAAGTAAACAAGTCCACCTGCTAAACAGTTGACTCCAACGACAACCCGTGTTCTAAAGGAGAAAAGAAATAAAGAAAGAATGGCAGGGAGGTTGACCGGTTTAAGACAACCGATTCGCTGCTCTACACCAGCAGGCTCAGACGTGTAGCTTGAATGCGAACTCATGATGTTGGCAACTTTTGCGAAAGCTTTCTTTAACTAAGTGTAAAGCTCCTGAAAGTGACCCATTTGTTCTGTATATTGTTTAAGCACTGCCCACAATTCCTTTCGTTTTCAGATGGCGCCAGAGGCATTTCTCCTATTTCAAAAGCCTGGGAATCCCCGGTCCCGAACCCAATCTGCTGTGGGGAAACATACGCGAGTATCACTCAACGGTGAGAGATTTTTAAACTGATGTATAAAAAATCCACAACCACATATTTGCTATCCGAAGCATGCGACTGTTCCAAGCGTCACTGAAGCAATGAGCTAGCGCTTTCAGCGCACGTTTGGGTAGCGTTGGGCAGAGGAACGCCATGTACATATTTTTTTTAAGTATGAGCTATAAATTGCACAATTCTAGGTGAAGACGATTCAATATTCAACATGGTCTTACATGTTCCCAGCTTCTGTTAAAGGGCTACTCGTATTGACAATAAATAAATGAAAATGAAAGCATATCACTTGGTTGACCTAAAATTTCCCAGCTAACCAGAACTTTTATGTAGCCTGCACTGAACTTCGGTGGCATATTAACTTCGGTATAATAATAATAATAATAATAATAATAATAATAATAATAATAATAATAATAATAATATCTCAATTCTGTCGTTATAGAGGGTTCGTAAGGTTAATGATCAAGGTGTTTTTTTTATTGTACCATACGGTGTTCTGCTTACAGAAAGCGCATTGTTAGGCGGGTTTACCGTTCCTTCAGCTCGGTTCGCAGACTATCATGAGACTACAATTTTCGGTATTCGCTCGCTAATTTCCAACAAAAGTATGTCTTTCCAACTTCAATGTGCACCTGTAATATTTATTGACATTTGTAAATCAAGCATTCATGCTAGTGGGAGGGTTAAATAAAAAAAATGTAAGGATACACATTCACTATTTTGCTAGAAATAACACAGGATCTCGTTCTAGTACTGTTAAATTATTAGGGCGATAGCTTTAGACACCTTATCAAATGCGAAAATTAACGGTCGGCGTCAACGGAGTTATAAAGAAACAAAAATTATCACATGATAACGTCATCGTGACGTCATTGTGGCGTCGTCATGGCGTCACTCTTCACAATGTATTTAGGCACACATTAGTACTCTCTCAATTTCTCGTGATGTTAGACGCTTTTGTTGCACATACATGTCCGGGCTGAATGTAACAGAGCGTAAAGCACAGATGCTTTGTCAGATGGCGTGGGATTGTCGTACCATGAATCCTAAAGTCAAATTACGTCGTTATATGTGGTGATAAAGCTACACCTACAGGAGGAATCGAGATAAACCTAGTGGGTACCTTATACGACATACATAAAGCGGCCTATAGTACTGGAGCCACTAGTACCTATGCTACAGTTAGTGATTGTTTTGCTTTTCTTTCTTTTTCATTTCTCTTCAAACTTATTTGTGTTGATGTTTTCTTTGCTTGCAGCATCATCACAAAGTCATTGAAAAATGGCTTGAAAAGTACGGCGACACATTCGGGTAAGACTGTCATACGCGGAGAAAAAATACCACTCATCCCTAAACATTTCGTACCTCTTGTGGTGCACGTGCTTTATATACTCTTCTTATAAGCAAGCTTATTACAAGATAACAACCTGTACTAAAAATACAATAAATAAGAATAATGTGCATGTATGTTCAATATATCCACAACCTCTAATGGTCACCGCAACATTGCAGTCATTGGCATACAAATTGTTTTAAAATAGCTTACAGGAATATAATTTCACGTAACCACGTACGAACCGTCACTACGAGGAGCCTACATTTACCAGCATTGAACAAGTTTTCGAACTTAAAATTTTTCATTCCATTCATTCTAAACATTGAAAAAAACAAAGGGATATTGTAACGGCCTAGAGAGACGAGTAACGGATTCATTTAAATGAAATCACACATCCTCCATTTCTTCCACACGCACGTGAACCTGATAACAGAAGCGTATCTGCAGCTTCTCATTTCACAATATCCTTACCCACCCACTTATAGACGTGCTCACACTAACTTGTTTTCGTGCGAGAGTATGGTGACCTTGTCGAAAATCGCATCCACTTCCTCATACAGCACAAGAAAAGAGTGCAGAATGCCCTGTAAGTCATTCGTAAGAATTAACGAATTTGTCATACAAAATACTGTCCACACAACAAGCTCGTCAAATTAGCGATACGTATAAGCTGCCCATAAAAAAATTATTGAAATGGTTCGCAGGTTGTTTCCGTCGAGTTGAAGATCTGGTCCTTCAAAGCAACAAGTAGCCTTTCCAGGTCTTCATTTTAGCAAGACGCACAGCCATGTGTAATACTAATGAATGAATGAATGAATGAATGAATGAAAGAATGAATGAATGAATGAACTTGATTTGGGCATAACGCATGACGCGTTCATCCGCGAGAAAAGGCAAAAAGAGGCCTTAAATCGCCTGATTAGGCCTTACCACGCTGAAGCAGCAGAGACAGCGTAATTGGGAGTTATAACTTAACTAACACATAATCAACAAGAACATAACCACTAGGGCCATAAGAGCACCATCCATATTTACAGTAATGACATGATAACAGTAATGACATGGTAAGATTAAGAGCATATTCAAAAATGCAGTAGCCAATCATAATAATTTTTTACATAACAAACTCTGCCGAAGGTATAAACATGTTTATTATTAAATACTACTTGAACTCACGAATTGTGTTACAACTTCTGGTTACATTCACAACATTAGAATACATATTGCATAAGGAAATAGTTTCGTACTATATGGCTTGCATTTCACAATTGGTCATGAGGTTTTTCGTTACTACTGATTTGCAGCGCAAACCGTATCATGTGTCTACACTGAGGTATACTGGGTAAGGCAACACTGAATTCATGTTTCATCAACGATTACACGAATACTTGTGATAAACTGGTATGAATATGATTTACAGAATTGTCCGATATGCACTTCCACTGGATAATTGAGCGTTGTACACACTTTCCACCTTGCCAAATGTAATTAGATAGTTTGACAATTAAAAAGTAATTTAATTTTTTTTCTTCCTTATTCCTCACGACTGCACATTTGCGGGTGAAACCTCACTGGCCACTGGTGCCCCGAATCAGTTGTCGTTGTAGCCGAAATATACGTGGGCTGAAATTGAGTAACACATTATATATCTGCATAATTTTATTAGGCCTATGCTACGTATTCAAGTGAGCTCACTCTCGAAAGCTACGCAAGGACGAGTTTTATTCTTAGCGTTTCACTGATGTCATCAAAAGTTTTCTCGCGAGTACACAATGTTCTTGAAATTAGGTTTTGAATGCGCATGCTACTTCTTATTTGACTTTCTTTAGGACCATCAGCGCATTTTTTTTGTCAATTCCAGATTTTATGACGGAGATGTACCTTTTGTTGTAACATTGGATTTGGACTTCTTGGAATATGTTCTAGTTCGCAACTTTCAAAACTTCACGGATCGCGGGGTAAGTATTACGTTGATAAAAGATTAAGAACGAGTGATTAGTGCAAACATTATAGCAGCGTGGTTAATTTCTTCAGCACGAAAAGGTTTGTGTACACTTGAGCAATATTTTGAAAGTATACATTTTTCAACTGACCCATATTCAAGTTTTGCTAGGGCTTATGCGTTAATTGTTGCATTTTTCGTGCGGTCGAAACACTCATAGAGAGAAAGAAGAAACCTTCATTATCATAACTAGTTAGTAAAGTAAATAACTACATTCTTGTTGAGCCTAATATACTGTAACTACTTTATTTTCAATGGAATTTTTCGAGGAATGTACACTATGCATTATCGTATCTATAGAACGCTTTTTCAAGGAATAGGTGTACTTATGTTTATAATACTGTTTAGTGTCCCAAGAAAAACATCGAAAACTTGGTGTAAGCAAACGTATTTTTCACAGGATGAGTTGCTGACGGAGCAGAAACACCCGCTATTGCGCAACTCTATAGTCTACGCTGCAGGTACCCAGTGGAGAAACATACGGCGATGTGTAGCCTCCGGCTTTACACCAGCGAAGCTGAAACAGGTAAGGTACACCCGACTGCATAAGTTGGCGTCACGCGAAGTGTTCGACAAGTCGGCATCCTTGTTTTGTGTAGGAATATAACTTCTGAATAAATATCCCAGGGTGTAGTTGGTGTTAACATATTTGCAGTCACCAGCTAAATTAGAGGAGTTACACTTGTCACAAGAGTACACTTGATCGCGATTACACGTAATCTGGATCGAATCTCTCAGTCGTGATTGGACCCGTTACGCGAGGTGCAGTATTGATCCAATCACAGTTGAGAAATATGACCTCGATTGAGTTTAATCACAATCAGCAGAGCGCGGTTCGGCATCAATATTAAGCACTGACAGAGCATAAATTCGCGTTTCTCGCGAATCCAACATTCCTTGACCTTTTATTTATTTACATGGTACACCTTGCGAAAATTTTTACTGATTCTGTCGCGTTTTCATGAAGATGCATGCCTCAAATATACTTTTTGTGGAGCTTGAAACTGAAGTGATGCATCATTTTTTCACATTTGCACTGCAATTTTGCATGATCTGGTCATGCATGAACTGTAATTCATGATTGCAGAATTGGGCAAGTAAAACGGAACAACCTCGGAAGACGCCAGTGCTTCGAAATAGGCAGCTGTGTACTTGAAGTTGTTGAAAAGTACGTCTACTTAGGACAGGTAGTAACCATGGAGCCAAACCACGAGATTAAACTAACTGGTAGAATAAAAATAGGGTGTAGTATACTCGGCAAGCATTCTAAAATCATGACTGGTACATTGCCACTATCCCTTCAACAGGAAGGCATATAAAAGAATACGGCGGATCCTCCGCACCTTAGGAGTCGACGTTATGCGATACATGCGAAGGGAAGGTGATCGTGTTGTAATGTTTCATTTTAGCTTTTATTACATAACGTATAATGACACTATTGTATTGTGGCTGCATTGTATTATTTACTGCAGCTGCAACTTGTACTTACTCTTGCACAATATTTTCTGTTATATTGCGGAGCTTTTTTTCTCGCATTTGGCTATCTGTTTGCTTTCTGTTTTTGCTCGCTGCTACTTTTTTTGACAGCTGCATTGTTGATTAATTTGTACGTTTTGTTTACTGCGTAAAATACTAGGACGCGTATTTAGGTCGTTGTATTGTACTGTATGTTCCCCTCACCATATGCCTCTTCCGGGGCCCGTGCAGTATGAATAAAATTAAATAAATAAAGCAGTAGGAATGTAATGTGTACTCAACTGTCTAGATAAGATGCAAGTACACCAAGTTTCGTATATGTGAAGCTGGTGAAACGGACGGGAGCGCATTATGACCTGCTGATGATGTACACATGCGCAATAAAAATGCACACCGAAGTCAGTCGAACTCAGCAACGCTGGACTCAGAGCAAATGCTACACAGGCCACTACAAGCCTACTGCTTCCCGAGACATAGACTTCCCCAAGGAGAACGATCTGCCGTCTGACAGTACAGTCATAGCTTTCTTATATACTGTCGTTCATAATGAATAGACGAGGATAGAGGATGAAAGCTTCGTGGTATAAATACTAAAAGGCAGTTTCTTGCGCTTTTGTGGTTACATTATGTGCTTTGACGGAACAATAGTCTCCACTTTGAACAACGAGATTCATGTGTAACAAGGACTACCATAAACTATTGTTTCGCGAGTCAAAAATGAACTTATGGCATTTGCAGCGAATGCAACCCGTTCTTCGGGGGAGATAAGTTTCACTGGCATGAATCACAATGTTCCACACAAACGACGTAGAGAACGATAAATGTTATCTGGTCTTATTATATTTTGATTTAAGGGACACATTACCAAAGCCGGAAGAGACCTTAAAGTGACCTTTTTTTTGCAATGTCTCTGTTCTCCCGTAAACTGCAGTAAGCGCGTCAGTTGTCCCGTCTACCAGGCTATACCTTTCTCGCTTTGTCTAACAACCAGAAAATTGCTCGCATTTCTTTAGATGCTGACAGATATGAATAGAGGCGCGGATATTTACCTGGACATTGCCGGAGAGCATGCCGACTCCGGCCGTGAAGCGAACGTTTACGAGCTTTACCGGAAGCTAAGCATGGACTACGTGGGCCGCGCAGCATTCGGCGTCGACTGCAGCTTCCAGAGAGGACCCGACAACGTCCTCGCGACTACCACGAAGGTCATACTTCAGAGCGTCATGACGGGACCTCTCCACTTTCTTTGCCGTAAGTGCGGGATGCGTAGCACGAGAACCATGTCGCTGGCTGTATGGTGTATAGCTAGCTATAAGGGGCCACATCGTACGCATGTACACATGCCACAGACTTTAGCCTGCAGGTGCCGTTGTAATTATGCTTTGTTGTACCTGCTGCGTACTTCCGTGATTTTCATCGCTCACTCATGTATCATATCGCTTCTTGTCGTTTCTATTGAACTGTTTCAGTCGACGCGCATTTGCTGTCTTGAACGAAAAAGAAAAATCGACAGAGCTAACGCGTGTAGGGGCGATAAGTGTCGTAGAAGCTTCTTTTAAATGTAATTGATATGTATATGTGGGGTTTAACGTCCCGAAACCAGCATATGATTACGATAGACGCCGTAGTATAGGGCTCCGGAAATGCTGACCACCTGGGGCTCTTTGACGTGCACCCAAATCTGAGCACATGGGCCTACAGAATTTTTGCCTTCATCGAAAATGCAGCCCCCGCAGCCGGGATTTGATCCCGCGACATGCGGGTCTGCAGCCGAGTACCTTAGCCACTATACCACCGCAGCGGAGCTCTTTCAGATGTATAGAGCGCGGCTTCGTTTTCGTTTTTGTTGTAGTTGATGTAGTTGTTACATGAATTGCTGTTAGTGTCGAAGTTGTGGTTCTTCTTATAAAAAGTGTAGTAATTGCTGAAGCTGTTGTAACAACTCGTATGTTTGGGAAAACGACTCAGCAATTAGGTAGACGATATCTAGTGGCTAAAGTCATTCGTATATGCCACATGAGAACAGCAGAAAGGAGGCACCTGCAAAAGTGGAGGATACCAGTACAGAGGCGTCACCCCATTCTTCCTCATTTTAAGGCAATGCTCATTCGCAAACACATTCCTTCAGTCATGCTGTCGATCAGTCTGTCGGTCGTCTTCAATGTGATGGTGGGAGCATGATCTTCATGTGTATTCGAAGGTAAATAAAGGCTGGTGCAACATGCCAAATTCCGAAAGTTCGATCACCTGCTTAGTGTCGAAAATTCTCAGCGTTTAATGCGTATTTTCAATTTTGAGCGACAACTATTGCTCGTCGAAGCTTTCAATTACTTAGTTACTATACACCTGAGATGCATATTTGTGATTTTTTGTTGTTGTTTCCTATTTTATTTCAGAAAGCACATCTGCGCTGGGTATATTCGCAACGCCCCTCTACTGGATCCACATGATACTCGGCGCCTACGCGGCGATAACCATGACTAAAGAGACGGCTAGAGGTGATAGATCTCAGAAGAAAAAATCCAGAAGTGAGTCCTATTCAGCATGTTATCTTTCAGGGATCGAAACATCTCACATGTATCGGCTTGTCGGCGTGTCATGTCGTCTTCATGGTCTATCATAAAAGGGGATGCACCACGAAAATTATGCAAATCCCACTCGCCACCGGTTCATACTCCGCGAATCATAGGTTAAAGGCTCGTCGCTACTGCCTAAAGCATTATGTTTGGTGTAGCGATGGTGTGAGAATCATCAGCGATATTTATCAAGGTGCTGAGGTTTCTTATCCTAAAACAAGTTGCACAAACGTACACATCTACGGTAAACTTGTCTATTTGAAACAGCACTTCTTAAAACATATCTGCAAAGTTATAGTGCGTTAGAGGACCGGTGGCAAGTGAAACAGTAAACAATAGAGGTTTTGCTGTGGAAAGCATCGCCACAGAATGCATTCTTCGCCCCCTCTCCAGGTTTAAGGTTAGTTGAGCTAAAACTTTTTTTTTCTAATAGCGTAGTGCCTTCTCTTTCTTTCTATCTGTGTTTAAATATGTGCACTGGTTTCATTCCAATGAAAATGCGCAAGGATGTCTCAGTGCTGCGCGTTACTGTGCTCTATAGCCAGTACCATCGGTATTGCGGCGTAGGGGAAAACATCAAAGGTTGACAAGCTGGCTACTAAATGTGCAGTTTCCGTATTCGGTAAAGTGCACTTTTCGCGTGAAGACTTACTGCAGAACAGAATTTCTTTTATTTCTCAGGAGAACGATATCGCAAAGTTTTACTCCTACTGTCAATATGCATTAGATTTCATTGGATGCAGCATTAACGAAGCAGTAATCGGCCAGTAGCAGCACGCAAAATTTCTAGCGCAGTTAGATGCATGTGTTTTAAAGAGCCCGGTTAAATAACTTCGCACCATAAAGCAGCCTGTGTCATTACCCATGTGTCGCATAAGCACACTGACACTCGCAATGTTCCTTGATTTGGAACGTTGCTGAAGTTAATAATAACTAGGCGTTCTCGAGAATTTAACCACTTCATGGCACCGGGTTTTCTGTTTATCTCCCATTTTCTTGTGCAAAAGAATATAAGGTGCTTCCTTTTCTGATCAGTTTCGAAAGCCTGACGTGCTGCAAAGCCTGCTTGATGCAGAGTATGAAGAAGAGAGCTCTGAGACTGAGTACGGCACGTCAGCCAATGGCAAAGGACCTGGTGAGACAGTACCGCATATAATGAAAGTGTGCAAGCATAATACGGGATCCGCAAGACAGCGTCTATTGAAAATATTGGAAGAGAACTCATTCTGCATTGGATATGAAATTAGACTGATTGTGATCTACTGAAATTTAGGCTGTGGAAATAGCAAAATTTGCGCGCACGCGAAGGTCTCCTGCCTGACGGGAGGTGAGCCAACATTGGCCCTGTTACATGGACATCTGACATACAACTGCTCATTTAAACGCGCCTTTGTTCACAATTCTTCTCTAATATTTCCAATTTCAGCAAACAACAATGAATAGCTTGCATCTCATTTTACTCGTACCACTGAGCTTTCACGAAAGCAGATCGCTTACCGTTTACCCAGATTCTGAGAAAAGGTCCCTGGCAGGGCAGTTATCTCCAAGATAGTGCGGATGTTAGGTTCAACAAACCTTTTTAGCAGTGGGGCATAAAATATATCTTGATATTTTCTGTTTTGATAATGTTACAGCGAACGTTCCCAAAAGCCGTGTGTTGACAAAGGATGAAGTTCTTTTGAATGCCAGCACACTATTCGTCGCAGGGTAAGCAGCGCCATTGCCATGGTGAATTTTTGTCACTTGTGTAAATCGGTTATTTTACAATTTAACCGTGCATATACAAGTATAACAGTAATAATCTCTCGAACTGACGAATTTCATCTCAGCCTCATTGTATATTGAGCGCTTTCCAGTTACCTATTAAAGATACTAATGCTTAATTACATATGTGCTAACAAGTTTTTTGCTATGTTTTTAAACACATAGCAAGCGCTGCAAGTCAAAATCCTTTTTTTTTCAGTAACCAGGGTGTATGTTCACAAATATTCGAAAAACAATTCAAGGTCAGGTAGAGGTCAGACGCGTTGTTAATAAATACGACAATGCAATGAAAGAGTAGTTAAAATTTCGCTCGAAGTGTGCCTCAAGTCAGACTCTATCGACATTGTGCAGGCATGACACGCTGTCTACTTCTTTAAGTTACGTGACGTATCTTCTGGCAAAGCATCAGGACATTCAGAACAGAGTCCGGAAAGAAATCAACGATGCCACTTCTAGTACTGTGAGTATAACTTCTTGAACTGTTTTATCTATGTGCGGTTGGCTGAAAGCTTTAAAAAGTCCGGCACGTAACTAGAAATTGTATAGGCCGCAAGTACAGTTTTATAGTATCAAGTTTTATAGAATCGGTTGCATGCATAAAGAATGGCGGGTGTTTGGGACAATAGTTGAATACCCTTGCCGTGATGGTAATTAATACTTACTTTATGCAGGAAGAGTTAGACTATGAAACTGTTACAAGGAAGCTGCCCTACCTTAGTCAAGTTGTAAGCGAGGCTCTCCGCTTGTACGCACCAGTACTGACGTGAGTATTGCATCGTTTTAATTTCCTGCGACTATCAATGAATCTGTGCCATAATATTACGCCGAGAAAATGTTCACCAACGCGTGAGTCATAGCTTAATTCGGTGTGAAAGGTGATAAGCATGACAACAAGAAGTCACACAGTCCCTTTATGCATGCGATTGACTAAAATGCTAAAAGGTGAAAGCCATTTCCTTTTTTTTTTTCTCCTATTCTATTGATCATGTACTGAAGCTTCCTGGTCAGAAAGTGGCTCTGTATTTTTGGATAGGAAGACGCTTTCTGCACCTCTCATAGCTTTGCACGTGGCCTCTGTGATCGGCCCACATTTGAACATATGATAACGATGTGTGATGGCGTCATCGTGTGACGTTACGTGTTGTGATGTCGTCGTGATGCTACCAGGATGGCATCATTTGAGGTCACACATTTGTGCAACCTGCCATGTCATGCTGATGTTGCAGGATGACGTCACCAGCTTGCTAATTGCATTCATCGGGTCGACGCCACCGACGCTGATTCTTCCTTTTCGCTTTTGATGAGGCATATAAGTATTTCCTCCTAGGGGTTTGTTCACTAGAACGCTAGAAAAACGTGAGCGACACATCCGAATCCCGCTTATACTGTTAAAATGTAGCACGCGAAGTTCACCTTGTGTAGGTTCATCTCTTTGACGAAAGTAAAATAGCTCTATGTATGTACTATCGCTCGAAGCAAATACATCCTGTAAACAAATGGAACGTGGTAGCTAATTTATTATGGCAAAATTATGAAAACGACTAGATAAGTGAAACAGATGTTCGGTGTATTGTGTTGTTCATTCCGGCCATCCCGTCACCTGTGTCGTTTTTCAATAGTAAAAGTAAAACAACCAAGCCGGCTAAATACCATTCAGTTGCACCCCTGCTTTTTGGGAAATTTTCGCTCACCTCTCTATCTCTATCCTCTTTCCGACACTTTCCCCCACCACTGTAAAGGGTAGCACACCAGTTCTTCTAGGTTAACCTCCCTGTCTCTTCCTTTTATTTATTTCTCTCTCTTTCTTCGCTCACCAAACTTTACTCACACTGCTGACTTCAGCTAAACCACGTCCTGCATAGAATATCTTTCCCCCTTAATTCTTGGCTACGTCTATACTCTGGAAATATTTCGTAATTTGCCGTCCAAAAACAGTCATAACGCTCGCAAGAGATACAAACTTCAGTCGGTCTTGTGTATCATGGACAAAGCAGACGTAAATAATTGATTTTTCAATCTGTAGTACAACATACAGACGTCCCTTGTGCGATGGCGTAATAGATATGGAAGAATATACATTTTCTTTTAGTGCCTGACCAAGCGCTAACTATATTGTAACTATTGCACTATCCAAAGCGAACGTGGTGCACGTTTCTCCCATTATCGCCGCTTGCTGCAGGAAAATACTTGCCTTTTGTCCTCATGGCGTCTGTAACGCAGGTTCGTATCGCGGAAAGCTATCGACGACTTTGAGTACAAAGGCATTCATTACAAGGCCGGCACGTGCTTTATGTCTCCGACGCTACAAATCCACAGGGACGCGCGTTACTGGCCTGACCCTCTGGAACTTTGATCCGGAAAGGTAAGAGACCACAGTCATTACGTCACTCAGGACCTTAGGTCGGTGAACTCACAATTGGGCTCACGCAAGCTCAGATCGAGCCGTGAGTCCGAGTGAGCCATACGCGGAAAATATATTTCTTGTGTGAGTCTGAGCCTCACATTTTTGTCGACATAATTTCATATATATATATATGGGCTTACTTAGTCATCTCCACCAATACTGTCACCCTTATCTGGGTTCGCGTTGTATACGGACGTCTATTGACAGTTTAGGTGAACACGCAATTAGGACGAGTTGGTCACGCTTGATCATGGGTGCAAGACATGTGAAATGCAAAAGATGCACCGTAGGGAAGCAATGAGAGGGCATTGGTCATGAGAAGGTGCTGTATGTTAGCCACGGCCATAAATTTTTGCCACTCGTGGAAGTAGCCTCTTTCGAGATAACCGACATGCTTCATATTCCTTATTCAGGAACATAGAGCGTGAGGTATTCATCATATACTATTGGTTGATCGATATGGTGCATTGTGATAATGAGGTTGTGAGGTATGTTTGCATAGTCAATTATAGAAAAACAAGCTTGCCATTTTGTGTGATCATTCTGCATATACTATATCAATTCTTCATGTTATAACATCCTATAGGAAGCTAGTCCGCTTATGTGGTACCTTAGTGAAAATGCACGAAATGGAAGTCCGCTCACATCACTATGCACTGAATTAGGACAAAACAAGAGAAAAATATTAGCGAAACACATTATAGTGTAATTTATAGTGACAACGACGCCTCCTTGTCAGCTACAAAAAGGAAGAAACAAGAACTGCTAACCAATATTGTTGCTGTCACAGTGCGTCACGCAGAAGAGCAGAAATGTTAATAAGTTCTGTAATATTGACGCGCTGCTCAAGCACAAAAAGAGAAAAAGGATAGCACAGGGAGCATATACTCTGTCTCCTTTGCCTGCTTTCTGTTAGAGCAGCACGCAGGGATTTCACTATAAACCAACTAGTCCTGCAAATAAGCACTTGTATAAGAAAGCATTAAACATTTATTAAATTCCACAATTTTCTGTTCGAGAACAACCTTGTAGATATGAGGCCCACCGTGTTGTGGGACCCCTACATTGCTTGGAACACACTTTTTTAACGTTTGACTTAATGTCAATAACGAGTTAATCCCCCGTGAAAGCAACCCCCTTTATTCAAAGCAACCCTATTACCTGCTAATGGTGCAGAAAAACTAAGTACGACGATAAACGGCAAGGACATGCTCAAGAGAAATGAGTCAATGAGAGCGTCTATTACTGAGAGCTCAAGATTGCCTTCTTCTTTGGTACAGTTGACAAGATCTTTCTTCGTACCGTGCTTTATTTTCCTACTGCTGTGCATTCCTTTTCTTCAATGTCAGATTTGCTCCGGAAAATGAGGGCAGCTACCACAAGGTGGCGTACCAGGCCTTCGGCCTGGGACCACGCAATTGCCTCGGGCAGCGCATGGGATACGTGGCGCTCAATTTAACACTAGCGCGCTTGGTTCAACAATTTCATCTGGAGCTGGGCCCTTCGCAGGGAGAGGTAAGTGCGCAATGAAATATGAGGACAAAACAGATGTCGCAGGAACTGAAGTTCTCAGTTACAATTGTGACAGCGTAGCTGTTCTAAGTCGTGCCTGTGCCACCTGCATGTCTGACTTATGACAAGCAGGTCACGGAGCTCGAAGGGGAAGTCAATAAAATAAGGGGTGAAATGAAATGACGAGGATGCTTGACATTGTCACGGTGGCCCTAAATGTCGATGATCACGATGATATTGTTCGAAATGAAACTAACCTATCTTAGTCTACCATCACCTACATACGCACTAACACAGCTTCGCTATCCGACGGTTTTTTTTGGCGTGTAACCGACGAAATTCTCAAGTAGCAATGTCCGACTCCTCCCACAGGTCATCCTCCATGCTCTTCCTAATTGTGCATGTGCACAGTGGTCTAGCTTTTTGTAAATTGCGATATGAAGTGAAGATACAAAGAAAAATGGTTCTGAAATAAGCCTGCAGGAAGCCAATACTGATGGCAGTTCTTAGTGATAATGACAGCCAGTAAAGGTCACGCTTCGTCTCTCTTTTTGCAGTAAGATTTCTGGCTTTCAGTCTCTGTAAAGCCCTGTTGGCGTGGCTGCTCACTGATTTGCATACATCGTTTGACTGTGCTGAAGACACATGGTGCGCGGAACATGCTTTAATTAAGAAAGGCGACGTAGACAAGCGACACTTGAAATGTGTTTCATACATAAATTAAAAAAAAAAGAAATAAACAATACTTCTTACGGGGTTATAAACAGTAGTGGCTGGTCTCTGTTTTGTCAATTTTTTTGTGTGTGCCCGGCCACCGCAAAAACTTCGTGATGCCGTTATACGTTGCGTCATAGTTCACATAATTCTTGCTTTGTTTGATTATTATCTCAACTCAAAAGTTGCCGTAGTCATGAAAAATGAAGTCCTAGAATAACAGTGATTTCACTGCATAACCTAAAGAAGTATTGACGAATGTTTTCGTTCATAAAACTGGTCACTATAATCACTGGACACTTCCGCTAAAGATAAGTTGAATATCACAATTAGCCGCCAAATATTCACTTACATGGAGCCCTCACATTAGAACCTTTAACTAGAGCGAGTGAAAGTGTTGCAAGTAAACTCAGGGCATATGCCTACTATGTTGTCTAAGTGAGTAAAATATACAATAGTGACATTTTGTTGATTATCACGCTGATTGCAGGAACCTCTCGACATCGATTGCCGGGCCGTGGTGTCAGAACCAGCCGTTGGCCCCTGGATTGTCTTTAGGAGGACATGAGCGTCGTAGCAGGGATTAAGCATATATGCTAGAGCAAGGAAAGGAGGAGGAGAGATTGATGAAAGAAAAGACGCAACTTCTGCTGCCTTGTTTTGAAGCAGGCCTCAGCGCCAGCGTTATCAAAAGCCCAGCAAGTCACCAATGCAAGGAAGACCTTCATAAAAAGCGAAGGGAATTCGACACAACTCCATCAAATGGTGTGATGACGTCATCATGCAGTGAACATCCTTGCTCCTCTCCTTTAACTGTCAACATGCACACCCCATGACACACCGGAGTGGTAACATCTAGCTTTCTGGGACAGAAAGCAAGTGGTAAACTAAAGATAAATGAAGTATTTTGTTGTAAGTTCTATCCAGCTTTTCAAATGCGAAGCATACCTTTGCATACAGCAGACATTTTGAGCGTATCTATCATCCATATATCATATATCTATCTATCTATATATCATCTATATATCACCTATCTACTATCTGTATATCATATATATATATAATATATGTATATCATATATATATATATATATATATATATATATATATATATATATATAATCTATCTGACTATCCATCCATCCATCTGACTATCCATCTGCTTACGTCTGGGTGCTCTTGTGATCACGATTTTAACTTGTAGTGTAGGCCCAGGTTAGCATGCAAGGCCAAGAAGGTTTGACAGTTACGACTGCCTGGCCATGACATGAATAACGTGAAAACACCATCGCGTACGGCATTAAATCCTTTCATCCAGACCGGTGGGGCGCATATATCCGCATACCATGGGCCGCGATATACGCCACAGGAGTTTGGTAAGCGAACAACATATATCGTTATTATAAATGCGAGAGAGTCAATAAATAGCGACATTGGCAGTGTTTACGCCACGATTGTGAAGAATATATGCTATGGTTCCAGGAAGAGTCAAACCCAAGCATTTTGTGTGGTAATCAAGTATTTTACCACAAATCCACAACAGGTATGAGAACTACTTTCAGAAAGAGACCCTATGCAGATGTAAGGTAAGGTCATTGTAAGGTAATTGTAAGGTCACTTGTGGTTGCAGTGCTGCCTACGTGATTGCATATACATTACATATCTACTTCAATAGTACAGGTGTCACGTCGGGTTACCGTCAATTGTAGCTAAGCGTTATCTGCTGAATTTCGTAAACGTGGCACTTTCCAGGGCTGCCATACTCGCAAGCACCAGAGCTACATTCCTGCTTACCGCTTCTGGTTTTGGTAATGCACACGTTGTTCATGGCATCGTTATAGGCAACGGTAAACAACTGGTTGCATAAACGATATTCATGCCAGTAGTTATAAGATTTGTAACGCCAATTGCTAATGTATCGCTCAACAAAAAAATTACACCACAGTCACCATCTGTCCTGTTAAGCCTGGGAGTCAAGACCGAACGTCATTGTCTTTGCAAAGGCAATCTGTGTCAAGACCAGCGAGCGAGCCCGCCTGGCGCCATCCCCTCAACGACGTCATCTAGCCCGGCAGCGCCAGTCTGTCTTACGCAACGCACGGCGAGCTTCCTCCATTCACGCGCCCGATAGCAGCCTGATGATGCAATCAGCGCCATCCACTCTGGCGAGTCTTACGCAATGCGTGGCAAGATCACTCGTCCATGGGTGCAACCCAGCGGCGGTTCCTGACTGGAGGAATCTGACATCACGGCCAGCGGCGGTTCTGATTAGACGTCACTGACGTAAGGGTTAATCCGGGACCTATAAAAAAGCCAAGCGGTGCTGCGCCAAGCAGCCGACATATGTGTAAGGGAGAAGACATCTCCTCTTATCGAGTCCCTAAGCTGTCGGCCCCAGGGCCGAATATGTAACGCTTCTATTCCTATGCCGTACGCGAAACCATCGTCTTGTCTGCTCGTCTATGAGCTCTGCGCAGAAGCAGCCGCGAGCTGAGAAAGGTGCTACCCAACAACCTTGGCGGCGGCCCGTGATACATGGTATCTGCCGACTTTTGCATGCTGTCTCGGATGCGAGATAGATGAACGCCTTCTCTATGTTATGTGATGTCTCTACAGAGAAGTTAGACAAAGAAGGCACATACCATTTTGCTCTGTTCTTTGCGTTTGTTATTTTGTGAAAGTTACTCGAAACAGTAGGCAGGCGTCGTGCCCCTTCATGTGACATTTGTCAGTTTATTCCCTTCCTTTTTATTCAGTGAGGTTATGTGTATGTGTGCACATATATAATATGGTTAAGCTATTTTGCACGTACTTTGTACACCTATGTAGTACAAACTATGGTAAAGCCATGCCGAATGCTAGAAAGTTATTGGAACGACTTTTGTTGAACTTGACCTATCTTCTTCGCTTGTCTCTTCTCTTTCGACGCACTGTATATATATATATATATATATATATATATATATATATATATATATATATATATATATTGTAGAAAAGCCGCCAAACACTGAAATGGGTCGAACTCTCAAGTGCTTTCTAGTAGGTCTGCCCAAAAAGAACGCCGCTCGCGCGGAGAGTCCGAGCTTGGCCGTTACTGTCGCCATTGTGTAGACTCGCTGCGTGCCGGCTAATAAACGCCATAACAAACTCGTGGAGGTGTGGGGTACCCTACTTTACTCGTCAGCCGGGGATATATATATTGTTATGGCGCTGTCCTGGCGCAGCGCAAACCCGGGTTCCCTGATTATGTTGCGGCATATGCAAGCCGTACGCTCACGAGAGCCGAGACAAACTACACCGTCACGGAAAAAGAGTGCCTGGCGATCGTCTGGGCTCTTACAAAGTTTCGACCTTATTTGAATGGTCGCCCATTCGATGTCGTCACCGACCATCATGCTGGCTGTCATCATTGAAGGATCCCTCAGGCCGCCTCGCCCGTTGGGCTCTTCGCTTACAAGACTACGACATCATCCGCGTGCTCTACCGCAACGGACGCCAGCATGCTGACGCCGACGCCCTCTCGTGCTCCCCTCTGCCTGAAGCTGACGTGCTCTGCTCAGTATCCTCGGTTGCTGTTTCTGCCATTGATGTTGACATCATCGCTACCGAACAGCGAAATGATAATTGGATCGCCCAACTGGTTGACTTGCTCTCTGATTTGTCCGCAACGCCATCCACGCGTGCCTTGCGTCGTCGAGCTCACCATTTCGCCATTCGTGACGGCCTCCTACACCGACGCAATTACGACGCCGATGGCCGCCATTGGCTACTCGTGATACCCCGCAGTCTGCGGTCGGAGATATGTGAATCCTTCCATTCTGCTCCACAGTGCGCGCACTCTGGGGTATTCAAAGCCTACCATCGCATTAGACAACGCTACTTCTACGCGGGATGTACCGCTACTTCCAGCAGTTCGTTCGCTCCTGTCTCGCTTGACAACGCCGCAAACCGTCCGCACACACGTCACCAGCTGGTCTGCAACCGTTACCTTGCCCTGACCATCTGTTTGGTCGCATAGGTATCGATTTGTATGGACCACTCCCTCTGACGTCCACTGGCAACCGCTGCGCCATCGTCGCCGTAGATCATTTAACGCGACACGCCGAAACCGCCGCTCTCCCTGCGGCTACTGCGCGTGATGTTGCGTCCTTCCTACTGCATCGATTCATACTGCGCCACGGTCCACCCCAGGAGCTTCTCAGCGATCGAGGCCGTGTCTTCTTGTCAGAAGTCGTCGAAGCCATTCTCACTGAGTGCCATTCTGTCCACCGCAAAACTACTGCTTACCACCCGCAGACGAATGGTCTGACCGAACGCTTTAACCGCACCCTCGGCGACATGCTGTCGATGTATGTCGCCGCCAACCACACAAATTGGGATACCATACTGCCCTTCGTCACCTACGCCTACAACACCACCCCTCAGAACACGACTGGTTTTTCACCTTTCTTCCTGCTGTACGGAAGGCACCCGTCACACACCATCGACACGATACTCCCGTACACGCCGGATCCATCTGAGTGTACACCTATTTCCGAGACCTCCAGGCTTGCTGAAGACTTTTACGACGCATGAGCAAGAGCGGCAGAAAAGTATTCGTGATGGCTCCGCCACTTCTGAGCCCACGTTCCTTCCTGGTTCGCTTGTATGGCTCTCAATCCCGACCTCTGTAGCTGGTCTTTCTTCCAAACTACTCCCGAAATATGAACGTCCCTACCGTGTGATCGAGCGCACATCTCTGGTCAAGTAGCTTATCGAGCCAATTGAACAATCTTCGGACATGCGCCGCCTCGGGCGCGACATAGTCAACGTGGAGCGCCTGAAGGCTTACTATGACCCGCTCGTAGTGACAAGCTGTTAGGTCACCAGGCGGCTTCCTCTTCGAACCCGGGGTAATTGTAGAGAAGCCGCCGAACGCTGAAATGGGTCGAAGTCTCAAGTGCTTTCTAGTGGGCCCAAAAAGAATGCCGCTCGCGCGGAGAGTCCGTGCTTGGCCGTTACTGTCGCCACTGTGTAGACTCGCTGTGTGCCGGCTAATGAACGCCATAACAATATATATATATATATATATATATATATATATATATATATATATATATATATATATATATATATATATATATATATATATATATATATATATATATATATATATATATATATATATATATATATATGTATGTATGTATAGATGGCTTCGATGGGAGTTTTTATTTATAAATGACATTCAAACATCAACAACGCATATAAGTGAAAACACACTACCTCCGTGGGTACACAGTAAGTCCCTGCTCTACTAGCCCACCCTCTGCAAGTTTCGCTTGTTTCGCTTCGTCAAGCAACGCCCCCCGAAAGGCGCACCATGTAAAACTTATTACAGCAATAAATGCAAACCATCCATTGCATCCAATATTGTATTTGGTCTTCCTTTTATCCTCACAAGAAAAAAAAAACGTAAATTCCTATATTGACTTGCTCCTAGAGGTGCAACGGTACCTAAGTACTCGGAGTTTAATTTCTTCGCGTGATTGATGAACTGATGATCATTAGGATGATGGCTATGATAATAATAATGTTAAAGGTAACACACATGACTTCTGTCACAGACATGAAACTTGAATTATCTAATCAGGG